CTTTCGGTGTACCCAGTAACAGTATGGAGGAATTGTTGTCAGGGTAGATCGGCACGTGCTACTGTAGAAAATTCTGGTTAAATTAAAGACTGTTTCTAAATAGCCCGGTAGATAAAGTGTTAAGGTAGCGGCGATAGGGAGCACCGCTGAACGGATATACTTGTAGCTCGTAGTATGGCTACGAGGGAGTCGGTTAGGTATAGGTGTCGGCAGGCGAGCATGAATGACACGTTACCTGTGGCTTTCTCGTTCCTTCTTATTCCATACCTTTGGCCGAGACCGCCGCGCCGACGAGGGATTAGCCTAATGGGTCCTGCCCACCTCCCTCATTTTTCCTCGCATGTGTTATATGTATATCCATTTTGATCTTTCACACCACCTACGACCTCCTGCATAACCGCGGCTGGCCATCCGACGAACAACGCCGCTAAGTGATTTACAATCAGATTTATTGATTGTATCCGATGATCGGCTCTTCCGAATACTCGACGTTCGTTTAACCAGCCTCGAGACCGTCAATTTTTACACGATCGCGTTTTAACACTTGGCTTACGAGTACACCTCGCCGCTTCGTTAACCTTTGACACAAATCTACTAAATACGTACGCTTAAGCTGCGCTTAATATTTGCGTACGCTCGCTACGTAACCTATACCTATACCTATACGTATACCTATTTACGGGATTTACCTATTTACTATTTTACAGGAAGAATCCAGCCCTATCGAGATTATTACATTGCCGCGTAATAGTACATGAAACTTATTTTCGACGTAATCAATTAAAAGAATCGTTCGTACCTATAAACCTAGGTACCTATAAACGATATTATAGCATTAATCGAAACCACGCCAGTCTTCGGTACCTATTTGATTCCCGAATTCGTGATAGCTCGAGAGATAGGCACATCGATATGTAAACGCATAGCACTTTTCTCAGCAGGGATGCTGACCAGCACATTTCACGATGACGTTGCCTCGAAAGAGATATTTGCTTTTCATTCCACGAATTCTCCCTAATTGATTACACGCATCTTTTCACGCGTACTATTCAGCCGACGCCTTTCTTTTCATCTCCGCGAGGCTGATATTGATTGCGTCTATCAACGAGTAAACGCACCGGACAACCGGAGATCACTCGTTATCGAAACGAGTAATTCACCGAACGGATATTAAAAGTTAGCCGTGTCTACTGTAGTCAACCACCTGTCTACTGTACCAGCTTCCATGTTATTAGACGTTGAAATTAATTTTGCGAAATTTATTCTGAGAAATATTTCTCTACCATTGCGTCGCGTCAAGGTAGCGATCTTGGCGCCAACGAAACGGAAGATCACGCGTCGAAAAGAAAATGATAGAAAAGAAAAGGCACAAGGTCGTAATAGAAGCTCGTTCGATTAGAATCGGTGAAACGTTCGAGTGCATCGGGTCGAATCGTTCTTTCGGAACTGTAAAATAGGCACAGCTTTTACGGTACTTAATTCCACTCGACGAAGTCGATCCGCAGGTAGACAAACAGAACAGCGAAGTAATCCCGTATGAATAGCAATCGAATATGCTAGCAGACTTTTCTGTCGTAGCGGACATCTAAGCGTCTCCTTCACTCTGTTTACAAATGTTTACGTGGGCCACGTCAGGAATTGTTATCAAATCGAGCGTGAGACACGATCTCGTTAGGTCGTTGGATGGCGAGCGAAATAAACGTACGAACGAACGAATAAAAGAGGAGCTGAAAAAGCGCATCAACGTCGAGTATCGATTCTAGAGAAAGGTACAATGGGTCTTAAGGGATGCTCGCGAGATAATGGGGCAGAAATGGCCCAATAGGCGAGGAGTCGACTTAACAATAAGACCTAACGTTTACCTATCGCGCGCGATGGTCGTACTATTTTCTTACCATTTGTTTTCTATCGTTCTTAATGCCATTTTTGTTATTCGGAGAGAATGTTTCGAACATTTCCGAACAAGGGCATTCCCTGTATATACAGTCAGTGTAATAGAAATTCGTACAGGGACCAATTCGAAATAAAAGAGATATTTATTTCGTTGATAAATTTTATGGAAATAAAAAATTAAGCAACGTCCCTACATATTCTTGAAGTAGAATTTGCGTAAATTAGAATTTCATATTTTTAATGTTGACTTCTTATTTCTTTTCTCATTAATTTTATCTTAAGTCCGTCGCTGTACGAATACTTCTAACGCTGACTGTATACAATATTGCTTCTGAACGATACTTTGAATGCAACGGAATGAAAACGTTTGTCTCTTTTGTCGAGAGAAGTTCTCGTAACCTTTTTCTCGCAAAGTATTCCATTAACATGGATGGTATTGGCAGGTCGGTGCGGTGACGAGTCCGACACGGAAAGCGAACCTGGCATTCCTTTGAAGCGAAAGCAACGCAGGAGCCGAACCACCTTCACCGGGGATCAGCTCGAGCAGCTAGAGATCGCGTTCCAACGCGCTCAATATCCAGACGTTTATGCCAGGGAAGAACTCGCCCAAAGGACCGGTCTAACGGAAGCTCGAATTCAAGTGAGCCTTCGATTTATCGTAATAAAAACATCTCCTTGACGGAATCACGGTCTTCCAATGTCACGCGTTAACTACCGAACGCCGATATCTATACGAGTCCTCGTTTCTACCTTTTTTCATGGGGGATATCTTCGAAAAACGTACTCGACGTGAGATTCCTTTATCAGCGGTCGAGGATCTATCCGCTAAAACCGTCACGGTGTCCATCAACTAGGGAGAACTAATTGTAAGTGTTATCGCATCGACGTCACCGTTCCCGTAGCCGTAGCCTCCTATGTTTCGAGTTCAAACTGTTTCACGTAATCGGCAAAATAAACGTGCATCCGAGAACAATATTTACCAATTGCGGCTACGGTGGTAATATTCGACGAGGGTTGCCGATTGATAATTACGCGACCACAGAGACCGTACTTGTAATATAAGTCTTGTATAACATTTCTTTCTTTGCAAACGTTGTTTTATCGTTAAATAATCTCGATTCGCTCACGACAACTCGTAATATTCACTGGAACGCGTCGGTTCTCTTTCAGGTATGGTTCAGCAACCGTAGGGCACGGCTGCGAAAACACGCCGGCACCGTTGTTCATTCGGTGACAAGTTTGCCGTTGACTCCGTGCCAGTACGCAGCGAGCCACGAGCTCGCGCAGATATCACAGGTACCCCAAATGTCGGTTGGGGTACCGCAAGCGCCGAGCGTGTTGCAACACAGTCCAACGATACTCCAGCAGCCTAACACCGGTGGTACTTACCAGATTCCAGGATCCACCGCGCAGACGTCCACCAGCACCTCCGTCGCGCAAGTATCCACTACGATTAGTAGCGCTCTTCAAGGACACGCGATGTCAATTTCCGGGCATCTCGGTACTTTTCAAGGGCACGCGATGCAAATCGGACAGGTACCGACCATTCAATCGCCCGCAACCCACGGACCGGCCACCGCCGCGACCCTTTCTCACAATCCAGGTTAGTCAACCATCGGAGCTTCTTTCGCTTTGATTCGACTTCCGGTTGAATCTCTCGATCTCTCCGAACCGAGTACGTGTCCTGTCGTTTCGAGAACATTGACTTTTCTAACGGTTCGATCAAACTTGCTTCTTTTACGAGAAAAGAGATCTCGGGAAATGACTCGGGATTACGCGAGAGGCACTCGTACTGTTGCAGAAGAAAGACTAAAGACATATTTTCGCAAACGTATTTAATTGAAAGAAAGAAATGTAACATAAATATAACACCGCGCGAGGGCTCGCGTTCGACTGTCGATTCTTCTTCGTCGATCGTTCGTCGATCGTAATTGTCTTTGGTTACCGACCATATCGCATGCGGTAGAAAAACCTTCGATACCTGCTACCGGAATGTAACCTTAATCATTTTTGTTTTATTTATTGATAGTATTTATTACTAGTATTTATTACTAGTATTTATTACTAGTATGGATTCGTTTAAACGCTCATTTAGTATTTCTTCAAGGTCGCATTACCGACTCGAAACGATACGAATAACGTTGTTTGGCCACGTTGTCTCGCGTTGGCAGCCATCCGGTGCCGCAGCAAACGTGAACGTATAGCGATGAACCGCGGCGACGGTTTACAATTTCAGGAAACACCGATTGGTGCAGAGCGCAGCTCACCTGGGGACAGCTCAGTCACTTGCAAGGTGAATACGCGTCCGGTCATCACCATTCTTCGCACGCCGGTCACGCGGCCGCTGGTACACCATCCTCCAGTAGCGTGAATTCTCCATCGATAGCCGAGTGGTACGACCAGGGATACGATTATTCCCAACACGCTCAGCTCAACTATCATCGAACCGCGAGTGGAATATATTGAACGAACATCGATTGCGCAAACATTAGCGCGAGGTAACTTTGGAACGATCGACGGTTCCGTGTATATAATGTATTTAATTCTGTAAAAATAACTCCCTCCTTCCATTTATAGTCTTCCTGTATTTTATACGAGAGAATCGAATTGGACGCGCGATAGATCATCGTTAAGAAAAAAATGTTATATACCGCGTTTCCAATTTATTTTTGCGCGCATAATCGAACCTCAAGATTCACGCTACCCGTCCCGCGACACACTGTACAATACAGATGCATTAAACGAATTCGATATCGTTACCAATCGTTTCTACGGATACGTTAACCTCTCGTATAAATTTAACAACTGTGCTCGCCGATTTTCACCGAGACAATCACTCGTTAATTTCAGCCGATTTATCGAAACGAACGAAAGGCACGGAAGATACTTTTATTGTCAACGGTATAAACATCGCGTCCGGAAGAATTTCTTCGTCTGATATCGCGCGACTAGATCGACGGATTAATTACTTGACTACGAAACATAATTAATCTACGCTTAATCGAAATTGATAACGTTACGTCAAGAAATGATCAAGTATAAATGATCGCTAAGGACGTTGAATTCATCGTATAAGCAACACGTTGACAATCGTCAATTCCTTCCTTTATTTGAAATTTTATGGAGCTGAGAAGTTTCTAACAAAGAAAATTGTCAGATGCGGGTAGTAAGATGAAATCTTTCGAAGCCGTGTCTACAATCTCCATACGAGGCTTGTATGTGCGACGCTCTCGATGTAAATATCGTCCTTTAACGACCTTAACGTCCTTGGCGACGCGTCGAAGGGGTGGTTGGACGTGGTCCCATCTGTGGAATTCTTCCTGAAATGCACGCGATCGACGTTCGTGTCGTACGGTAAATTTTCCTTCGAGTGTTTCCTCGAATTAGTCTAATTAAATCAACTGATCGAATTATTTGTATAATTTATGTTTTATCCGTAAGGTCGATCGCACGCGAGCGCAACCGTGTCAGTTTTCGAACCGCTCTGAAACTAGTTGCGTGCGACCGTGGATCTAGGTGAAACAAAGAGCGCAAACGGTTCGCAATACTAAAACAAAAACTAAACTAAAACAAAAATCGGTTGCGCCCGTGTGCGATCGGCCTACGCGTAATTACTCTAGTCGATACGCCGTGAATCCAAAGAAATATTTAAAAATAGTAAATAAGACCATGCGACAAACTAACGCTATTTTATTATTTCGTTCCAGCGATGAAAACCTTATCGCGTTACAACAGGGAAATGTCTTACTCACCCATAAACCTCTTCTCGGCATTCGAGTACTGACCGGTAAGCGGATCCATCGTTTCGCCGTAATCAAAAGCATTGGTATCTTGTATTACAGAGAACGGGTACTGGTCGGTGAAACCGTGCCGCCTTTTGAATCTCATATCGTTGGAATCGATCGGCTTCTTGAAGCTGCTGTTGGCCAGACGACGTGAAAGGATACTTAGAAGCACGTATCCGGGAGTTTTGACTGCCCTCTTCGTGAATGTAGGCCAGGCCATATTTTTCCTCAGACTAGCGATACTTTTTTTGTTGGCATAGGGTAGTCCGTAGTCTCTGGCTATGGACGCAACGTTCCTCTTGCCATTCGGAGGTAGCGCGAAAGTTCTGGCTATGGACGCAACGTTCCTCTTGCCATTCGGAGGTAGCGCGAAAGTTCTGGCCAGAGAAGCGACGTTCCTTTTCCCGGTGAGACGAGCTGCACGGTCGTCGATGTTATTTCCCTTGTTTCGTGGCTCGTAGTCGCGCATCAGCGACGCGATGTTTCTTCTACCTGGAGGCAACGCGAAGTCTCTAGCCAGGGCGCCGACGTTTCTCTTCTCCGCTGGTGAATCCGACAGGAACGCATCCGGATCCGAGCCCTCGTTCCCGTTCGTGACCAAAGAATCCAGAGGAACCGCGGCCCCGATCGGTCCGGTTTCTTCGCTGTCGATCAAAAGTTATCGAAGTCAAGGAAATCTTTTTACGGCAAGTACGAAACAAGTCCGTGTCGTTGAACGGAAACACGCGCCGGAAATACGCACAGGCGCGCAACGGTTTCAACAAAGAACAATCTCGAGAATAATAAAGAATAACAAAATACATCGATGAAATCAACATAAAGCGTCGAGCCGATAACGAAAAATCTTGGTATATCCGTCGTTTCGATGCCGTATATATACGGCCCTCGTACCAACAGGTCGTCGAGTAGTCGCCGCACGGTTGCCGCATATATGCGACTGTCTTGCGACGCTCGACGCGAAAGGGTTGGTACGAAGATAGTACGAGATAGTAGAATGCTATACGTACGACCGATCGAATCGCTTACTTGGAAACGAAGGTTCTCTTGTCTTGATCCTCCTGGTTCTCGTCGAGACGATCCTGAATACTGATGGGTAGATCGTCGTTCTTAGCTAGCACCGAGATGCTTCTTTTCTGTGATTTCGACTGCAACTCGCGCGTATTGATCTCCTCGTTATCGTCCAAGAGACGTCCCGGTAGATCCGGTGGTTTCTGCGTTCTTCCTATCGCGCTGAGATGACCGCGTAAGCCCGGATCTTTGAACAGTTCCAGGTAAACTCTGCCAGGTAAACAAATTTCTGCGTCGCCCTCGCTGTCTTCGGTAAGGGCCTTTAAATGCGCCGTGTCGTCGCAACTTCTCGCGCCCTCGGTCACTCCCGCCATCCTCGAATACGCGGCCAAGTTCGAACTGACTTCTGGCAAACGTAAAAGGACTAGGAAAACTTCTTTAGGTACGCACTGGGTGCTTTCCTCGTCTTGGCATTTCACCTGTGTCGCAAAACATTTTCGATTACTTCCTGGATCGGGAGATCTCGTTCGTCGCTGGGCCCTCGTTACGTTCCGGAGTTTCCACGAAGATAAACGTTTCCACGAAAAAAAAAAAGGACGAACTTAATCGAGGCTACTCTAATCGTCGATCGATGTCGGTTACGTTTGAAAAAAAAAGAAAGAAAAAAAAAAAGAAAAACAGAAAATTAAAGGTATTCGTAACAACCATGCATGTCCCATCGCGGAAGGATTAACTAGCGATCCAGATCGTTATAACCAACGGGTGTCTAGACGAGATCTACGATATCGATAGATTGAATTTTGCAGTGTAAACGTTCTATTCTTACGAGTCACGAGAGTACGACTCCGTCCTTTTTTATTTGAAACATTCGGAAAAGTTATTATGATACGGTGAAATAATAATCGAATAAATCTTTATTATGGGGAGATTCTAGTCCAAGCCAAGAAATTCTCTTATACGTCGTCTCTTATACGTCGTTTCTTATACGTATCATAAATTGTAAAGCGTAGCAGTGAACCACAAGACGGATTTAAATATTTCAATTGAAATAATTTGATTGCGTTGGAATGCAAGTGCAATGATTAAAAAAAAAAAGAAAAAAAAAGAGAGAGAAAGAACCGAATGCAAGAAACTTACCAGAGGAAGATGAACCACGTTAACGACGGAGATGTAAAGTAGAAGACCGATGAAACATCTTTTACTCGAGCCCATTTCGGAAAAAGTACCAGTATCCCTTCGAGGTGGCTCTTTAAATATGAATACCGTTTCATAGCGCGTTCTCTTCTTTATATAGAGCGCGCTTCAACCTGCGCAGGCGTATCAACCCACAGAGCGACACCCACATCGTACGTATCCTAAACGCACCATCGTTGCCGACAGCTCCGTCGGGCGAACTATGCAATATGCGTATACTCGAAGCCGTGAAGAGAAGAAAAAATATATAAAACAGAGGCAGAGGAGAGATGCGTTTTTTAACAATGACTAGGTTAATATGCTGTGGGTTTATTGCCGGTGGAAAATGAAAGGTTTCGTTCTTCTGTTTTCTCTCTTCTTCTTCTTCTTCTTCTTTTTTTGTTTTTTTCTTTCTTTCTTTGCATAAAGGAAATAGCACCGTATCGGCGCTTTGAACTGTTTTTATTTTTCCACTCGCGAAAATGAAAAGTATCGAGAACGACGTTCGACTAAATTAGTTTTAGAGAACTATACGTGTATACGAACCTTTCGATTTTGTCTTCGGTATTAGTTAAGGGATAGTAAGGATCTCTGGTAGAGCGGGGATGACGTAGAAAAATGTAGGATGACTTTTTTTTTTTTCTTTTTTACAATGAATCCACTCGAGGTAGGTATTGCAATATTTATTTTAAGGTACCGACAGTGCACGTAGCATTTTGAATATCGCGTATTGATTATGACGGCATCATTTTGAGATATACAGGGTGTCGCAAAAGTCGGGGAGGAGCCGGAAATGGGGGGTAGCTGAGACGATTCTGAACAACAATTTCCTTTGCAAAAATGTCGGATGGGGCTTCGTTAAGGAGATATCAAGCGAAAACCCTGACCAATCAGAGCGCGCGTAGACCGTTGGAGCGGCCGCGGTAGCGAAGGCTACGCGCTGGCGACCGCGCTTGTACGCGAACAAGTCACTCGACGTGCATAGAAGGACATTGACGCTGCCGCCTAGCGCGTAGCCTTCGCTACCGCGGCCGCTCCAACGGTCTACGCGTGCTCTGATTGGTCGGGGTTTTCGGTTAATATCTCCTTAACGAAGCCCCATCCGACATTTTTGCAAAGGAAATTCTTGTTCAGAATCGTCTCAGCTACCCCCCGTTTCCGGCTCCTCCCCGACTTTTGGGACACCCTGTATAGCTGACGTCAGAGAGACAGGAATTGTATTTTGACTCTAGTTTCGTTGGGAGTATATAATTTCAAATATAATTGAAAGCGTGTCTCTGGTTTCGATCCAGTAAATCTAATCCTTCAAATAAGATACGTAAGATGCGACTACCTTTACAGATTTTAATGATTGAAAATAGTGATGATATATGTCGAAATAAAATGACGAAAAGTAATTCGATATTCGTTTGAATTAAATGTTTCTTTCATGTGAAATGTATACGTCACATAACGTAAAAATAAAATCGAATAACCCGAGCAATAAAAAAGAATGGAACAGTTCGAACGTGATCTAAGGCTGCCGAATTGTTTAACCCTTTGTGGACGGAAGCATTTGTTCGAGAAATATTATTTATATGTATAACCTTATGCACACGAAGCATCTGTTTTCTACTTGACTCGACCACATCAAGGGATCATGCTAATCAATCAGCCTTGTGTAATGTATGGGATGCATCATTGCCCCAGAAGAATGAGTAGTAGCACAATTGTTGATAATTAACGTTTATTATTCATTAAATTTATTCCAATAAATTATTTCCATATATACGAGCATATAGGCGAGCTAATGGACCCACGAATAGTATAGCCATCTAGCGGCGGCACTCGAACTAATTTTTCCCATATATTTACATTTTTTCTTTTTTTACATATTCTTATATTTTTTACATCGTAATCACTGTACTACACAATATTTGAACTACTAATTGTTGATTTATACACTAATAATTAACTGATATCAAGTTTTTGAAATAAATAAAAAATACCTAAAAATGTGGGCCATCTCTTAGGAATCCCCCCAAGTTTGTCGTGAATTTCTTTCTACCTAGAACCGCTAGGTGGCGCCACTAAAATAAAAATATTCAAAACCTAAATTACGTGCTTTTCTCTGCATACAAATGTTATGTTATATTCTTTTAACCATAATTTAACTAATAATTGTCGATTAGTACGCTAGTAATTGTGTAATGTCTTGTTTTTTTAAATAAATAAAAATACCGAAGATGTGGCACCATCTAGCGGCGTGGTGTGGGAACTATTTCACGACAAGCTTGAGCAGTTCGCCATAGATGGCGCCACATTTCCCGGTACTTTTATTTATTTAAAAAACATGATATCAGTCAATTATTTGTAGATAAATCAACAATTACAAGTTGTATTATAATAATTACGATGTAAAATTATATAAATATCCTGAAGAAAGTAAAATATGTACAGCATACGTTTTGGAAAAAAATCCCCTAGAATCACTCAACAGTTGCACAACTCGTGACTTTATAGAATACAACCAACGACCCAACACATGCATGCGTTTGTACACATTTGTACATGCATTCACGCTATTCACGGTGATACAGGTCATACTCCTCACAAGTTACACGATCATACACGATACAAAATCGGGTTGAGAAACGTCAGAGTTTCTCCTGGTTTCGTCTCTGCGATAGACTGTACCTATATCTTTTCCATTATTTGGTTGACTTACGGTTGTTTAAGTCTAGGCTAGCTCAGGCTAACCTCTTGGTTGATGCCGAATGTTACGATTTTCGTCTAAAAGGCAAGAATTAATTTCCATAATATACATCGATATTGGTTAGTGTCGAAGTTGGTGACTTTCTCGTACAGGGCAAGAATTAATGTTCTTTGGTATATATCAGTATTTATAACTTCCATGTTATCTGGTTCGTGTAAACTTAGTGAACGAGATTGATATAACACAGTATTACAGCAGACAACAATATTTATTGTTACTTTTATTTATGTATTCTACAGCGAATACCTAGAAGTGTGAATAGAGTTGAAGATAAACAATGTAATTGAATTGGATAACATAACGTATCTTCATAATAGAGCGTAACATTTGTATAATACCAAAATGGCTGGTGACAAGGTAGTCGGCAGTTCTTCGTATATGCCTGGAGAAAAAGGACAACAAATTAGTAATGCAAATTTAAACTTGGAAGACGAATTTATCGAATCTATTGAATATATTCCTTGCCCTGAATTTCAATTTTCGGTAAGTACGTTAAAACATTGTTTACGTTGTTTACTGTGTTAACATTGAATATCGTAAAAAATATGTATTTGGAAATAAATTTTTAATCATACGATTGTTTAAACGTAAAATATTCCACAATAATATAATGCAGACTCATACTTCAATGAATATGTTTTATTTTCAATTTTAGCAAACATAAATATATTGCTTTTTATGAAGATTGTACTTTTATAAAAATCTAAATTTGGCAGATATAAGTAAAATGAATATTATACGTTGGTTTGAATAAACCTCATCCATCATAGCTATGTACAATTTGACCTCAGAATGGTAGAATGCATTCAATCATGATTTATCATTTCAGGCAGTAGCTTGTTGTTTCTGCAATGGATATTATGGACCATGTTTTGGTGAACCTGTTTGCCCAACATGTCATGCGTTTTTATTTCCTAATGATATCGGTGTTATGGAAGTTCCCATCTTTAGCGAAGTATGTTGTTTTATTATTATACATATACTACTAACTGTACTAACAAACAATATCAATGATAAGACCAATTACATAGGCAGATTAGATGTAAATTTTTTGTTTTATATGTCCTTCGTTGGTAAAGTTCTCTTAATTTTTGTGTAGGGTCATTTTTTTCCATATATAGCTTACATATAAATCATTGTACTTTCTCATGTGGTTCTACCAAAAATCACATTATTTATAGAACCTTTGTCCACATACTTGTGTGTGATATTAGTTTTCATGTGTTATATAAATACTTTCTTTGAAATATTTACATAGAAAACAGACGACGAAGATTCGGGAAACGACGAGCCAACTGAACTTTACTACAACCACGAAAGAAGAGCAAGTCAGCAACAACAGAATTCCCCACAGAATGCAATTTCAAATGTATCACACGTATCCAATACCTCTAATCATAATTCTCATGTATCTCCACGTAATCAATTGCAAAATGAAAATATTTCAGCCATACAAAATTATCAAAAAGTTCATCATATTATAAATACAAATGCTTCTAAAAGTACATCAGTTTTATCTCAAAATATGAATCTTTTTCATGCTGTACATTCCGGTAAAATACAAGAGATAAGCAATGGAAATAACGATGCGTACCATCATAATCATGATGATAAAGCTTCAACTATGAATTTTCAATGTATGGCAGAAGAAGAGCTACATAGGACGGTTTCGAAGAATCAGGAATTAGAAAATTACCAACATTGCCAATGGAATTACAAAGTACGCGATGATATAGGAGAATCATCAAAATCGTACAATTTATCCGAACGATTAGAGATGTTGACAAATTATAAACGTATCGAACACGAACCTATTAACGAGCCAGGCATAGTGGAACGGCTACCGCCAGAAGTGTTGTTAGTCGTTTTCTCACATTTGGACGATGTTAGTCTTTGGTCTGCTGCAAATGTTTGCCGTAGATGGTGTGGTTTATTATCAACACATATAACACCACAACAATGGCAACAAAACGTAAAATTACGATGGCCCTTGTACAAACCCATAGGGTGTGTTAAAAATTGGTACAAAGTGTATGACTTTCTGGCATCATCTGCACCTTGCAGAACGTGTTTAGCGCAAACATGTTTACGTTCACGATCTTTAAAAATGGAAGAAAATTCCTGGAGAAGAAACCGATTACACAGCGAACTTAAAAGCTTTAGGATAGATCCTCCTGAAGGCATTCAAGCAACACCTTTAGATCAAATGTGTTGCCATTGGCAAGCCACAATAACTGGCCCTGCAGGAAGTCCGTATGAAGGAGGCTTGTTTTATCTTTATTTACAAGTACCATGTAGGTATGTATACAAATAGTTTCGTTAAAACTCTTAAATGTATTAAATGTATAATACATGTATAATGTCGGTTATTTTTTGCTCATTGCTAATTCTTTTTTTAATTTTTTACAGTTACCCTCTGTACCCACCAATAGTAAGATTTCTTACCAAGATACTGCATCCAAATGTTTCTAGGCATGGTGATGTTGGTATAGACTCGATCCATCATAACTGGTCATTAGCATTGACAATATCAAAGGTTTTAATAAGTGTTCAAAGCTTACTTACGGATCCATATTGTCAGGTATATTATATGGATAACTTACTAAATTATTATTATTATTTAAAACTTCTTGTTGTTATTACATTAAGTATTAAGTATTATACTAATAATAAGTGTATGCAATATATAGGTATGCATGGAACCAGAATTGGGTGAAATGTATTTGAACGATCGTGAAAGATTCGATGAAATTGCGAGGGCATGGACATGGCGATATGCTATGCATGATGTCGTGACACCATTGTAAAGAATTTACTAATCAATTATTTAATATATACATGTATATCATTCTATTAGCTTTTTAGTTAATATTTATCAAAAATGTTTAGCGACTTCTAAATCCTTGTAATAATAAATTAATTCGCTTACATTATCAGTAGTTTATTGACTAAGGTATACATAATTCCATATACGAAAATGAAATATGTAATAATATCCTTTACAATACTCTTGTGATCTGACTTTAATAAATAAAGGCAACTCTATTTTACAATATAATGTACAGTTTCCATACATTTTTCTAATTATATAACATTTTATTTTTCTCTAAAATGTTTAATTATAGATATATAAAAATTGTAAACAAATTATGAGGTGAATTAAAATATGTAAATTCCCTTTATTAAAGAAAATTTTAAAATCCTACCTCGGACCTACGAAAAAATTATAATATGTAATTATTTAGATAAGTGAAATCAAACCAGACTCCTAAACGTGCTAATATTAAAAATGGCTGTGCTTTTAGATACTTTCATTTATTTTTGCCCTCTAGGAGAAAGTTACCAACTCCAACACCAATCAAGATCTTGTCCCCTTCAGATCGACGTTGTGGTTGGTACTAAAAGTAATGATTTCTCCTAGAGAGTATGAATTAATTTCGTAAGGACAACACAAATTTAGACCATATAAACGTCTTTACGTAGCTGTAATGACCAACACATACGTGTATTGTTTTTAAAGGCTACAAATAATGAACAATATTTGTTTTTACTCGGATTCGTACTTATATCGTGAACTCTTGTATACTCGTAACTCTTGTATCCCTTTTCTTACCATTGACTTCTTTATTTATTTATATATAGTAATTTTTACGCGAATATGTCTCATTATATTTTTTATACATACTATAGATACTTTGTAGAGTTTCTACATATTATTGAATTTTACATTTTGTCCTGTTATAGTTGCCAATAAATTCACGAATCATAAATGACCGACAAATTGAAGGTTCACTCGTGATTGGTTCAACGTTCTCATTGGTCAACCACTCGACTTTTGTCATGTGATCGTTCCCTATTTATGTTAACATCACTGATACTGCTCGAAATTTTGTGACAAAACAATAACAAACTGTGTCTTGCCAGTGCATTGTAAGGATTTTTGGTGCGTAGCTACGAAAGCTGGCGTGGAAGGAAATTGTAACGTGCATTTTTGTTCTATATCGTCTTCCTTTATTAGAAGTGGAAAACTTCGGGCTCCTCGAAGATTAAACCGAGAAAATTTCGTGAGATAATGTCGTCTAGGAAAAATATTTGCTGACGAAAGTCATGGTCATTTCATGTGCGGGTAGTGATCACACTATGTAACCGTGTATATTGATAGCTTTTATCATTAATCTGTAATAACAAGAACTATGCAAATGTACAAACATTCATCTTAGATTTCACTATTTACTCGACTTCGAAACATAAATCGAATGTTACAAGTGCGCGTGGTATCCAATGTACTTTTCGTCTTGTTTAGCTCGTGTTAAGTTTGATTTAACGTGCTTATGCGATCACGTCTATTTTATCACTTTTTGAAAAATCTAATATTTAAAAGTTGATATTTGAAGTTATACAGACTATATAACTCACTGAAAGAAAGATAATTGGTACGTTTTTCTTCATATAGAGTGTGAAATAACTTGCATTGTATTTTTAGTGTACACGTTAACAAATGTAAAGTCTTCAATTCGATTAATTTTAAGATTTTATTATTAATGGGGGACTCTGGATATATCGAGTTATTCTCAAACACTAAAACTAATCCAATGGATGGTATCGTAAAGCAAGAACCTACTCAAGAGATGGGTTCATCCTCCGCATCGGTACCTATACCAGGTGGACACAGGAGCACGAGGGGTGTATACGATCAGTTTTCACCATCTCCATTGACTATACCTTCAATATGGCCTAATCGACCAGATCTCATAGAATCTCCATTTAAGATGGATTCTGACCAGTTAGATGTTTCTTTTAAAATGGAAGACGATGACATATTTCAAGTGGACAAAGCAGATCTTATTCAAGGACCTACTCTTGCTGAGTTAAATGCTAACGATGACACGCTTCTTGGCGATTTGAATTTTGACGATCTGCTTTTACCAGAAGAGAGGGTCCAACCGTTTAAAGTGGATGCTAATACAACACAATCAATTGGTCCGTTATTCAATGATAACAATACAAGTTTTGCTTCAAGCAGTTTTCCACAATCTGGATCCACATATCGTAATATTTGTCCTACATATATTAATGCACATGGATTCAATCTTAATATAAATGTAAATGTCACTGATAATCTGGAGGCAATTAGTCCAAATGCATTTCCAAGCCCAGGGACGAGTAATGTTGAAGGTATATATATAAATATATATAGGATGTTCTTTTGTGCTTTTTAAGGTATTAGAAAACCAGATATAAGATGATTGTCAATCATTCATTTTCATTACAAAATTATTACTTTTAAAGTGATAATAATAAAGTTTGAACTCACTTGTGTATATAAGTGTATTTTTTAATGGATAACAAAGATATTTTTTTTAAAGGTAATTCAACACCAAGTTCTTCCTCGTCACCACATCCTGTGAACAGGCCTAACGGGCAGTCTGCTCTTCACGAATTGTTAATGAGACGATGTGAAAACTCTTTTGACATACCTACATGTGGACAGCTAGACAGTGGATGTACGACAAGCAATAAACCTAAAGTTTCTAGATTGTCAATGTCTGCTCCAACTCGAACAATGGTATTAGAACAGATTTGGACACGTAGAGAACCACGACCACATTTGTTGAGCACTGGTAGTCTGGGCGTTGTTGAAGCAGGTTCAACAAGTAGTTTAAGTACTGGAGAAGCATTGAGTCCAGATCCATGCTACCATACCGATCATCTTAGTCACGATGAAGGTTACGAAGATAGCGACGATGACAGTGATCATTATGATGATTACAGTAGTGATAATGGTAATTCGATCTTTATAAATTAATATTGCATTCATATTGGCCGTTTTTACTAAAAAGTTTTAGTTTGGCGCATCAACATGTAGATTTGAGGATAAAAGTAAATACCAATAGTTGTAATTGAAATGCATATTTTTGTAGATACAGGTGGCAGTGATGGTGAAGATCAAAGTACTGGAAGTAAAGTAGGAGGCAGTAGTGTGGATTCAAGTCGGGAAAGTAAACACAGTAAAAAGGAACGATATTTTTGGCAATATAATGTACAGGCAAAAGGACCAAAAGGGCAGAGACTCGTTGCAAGGGCACGTCTCGAAGATCCACATATTTTAAATGAAGCTACGGATCCCGTTTTTAGTCCTCACTGTGCTCTTCGTGGAATCAAGCATAGTGGAAAGGCACGGAAAGGAGACGGGAATGACCTTACTCCGAATCCACGAAAATTGTATAGTATTGGGCGTGAATTAGATAAACTCTCTCGCATTATAAGTGTTATGACACCAGTGTCGGAGTTACCATTTACAGCGAGGCCTAAAACGCGCAAAGAAAAGAATAAGCTTGCTTCTCGAGCATGTCGTTTGAAAAAGAAAGCTCAACACGAAGCGAATAAAATAAAACTACATGGCCTTGAACAAGAACACAGTTGAGTACTTATAGTTAGACTTGTATGTAGAGGAATTAGCTTAATAATAATTATTTCAATTTCATTAATAAATGAATAACTTTGTTGCAGAACGATTAATTCAAGGCATATCTCAGGCAAAACAAACGCTTGCTGCAAAGTTAACGGAACCTAATCCCGAAAATCAAGAAGAGTTGACACGTCAAATGGAAAAGTGTTGCAAATTGGCTACCAGTTAGTATTGTCAGATTTTTACATAGTTCTTAATGATGTTTAATAATCGTACCGTATTAACATTCCATTATTTATACTGCATTTTTTGTTACAGAGATACGAATAGCGAATCATTCAACTGAATTTGTCAACAGAGTATTAGATAAAGTGCGCGCAGGCGTTCATGATGGCGGCATCGATGATTTTTAATATACCAGGATTATTTGCTATAAACATGCATTCATATGTGCGCATACAAAAGCGCGAGAAAGAAGCGATGTGCAATGTTAACGGTCTATCGTAAATCAGAGACTGTGCGTTTCTACGTGCAAATCGGGAACCAAATGCAAAATGACCAACAGTTTGGATCTAAGTCTATTTGAATGATTTTACGAAAAGTAATTAAACGTAAGATAAATATCAGTACTTTATTGTACTAATTAGAGGTTAATATATTCTCACATTTAACTTTTATTCTTCACAGTAATTAACGTGGTCTATATCGTTCTGAGTGAAAATATTAAAATTTGATTTTACTCGGTATACAATTATAAATTGCTAATATACATTATGAACCACTGGTTTCCAATTCTATTTGCGATAAATAATTCTGTTGATTTATTTGCTGTAATGAATGTATGGTAATTATTTAGAAATTTTTCCTCCTCGCCGATTTTGATGACCTTGAAATGTGTTGTCACGGTCATTAAAATCCGTGAGAGGGCAAACTTCTAAATGATCACCGAATTTATATAACAATCATACACTTCATGTCAATGATGGATATATATTTTTTGTACGTTACTTGAAATTGGAAATTTATCATCGATTCTCTCTCGCCGAGGCGCTGCATTCCTATTTCCCGTTTCTCTGCCTCTTTTCTTTCTTTATCTTGTATATAACATGCGATCGTGTATGTATGTATGAAGGGTGGGTGTTGGTGTGCTCGTGTACTTGTGTATATGTGTATATATAAGGTAAGAATAACATTGCTCTGAATTTCACAATATTATTCCACACACTAAAATAATTAGAGAAATGTAGTATTTTGATTGATCATAATAACGTTAAAACAGTTTTATTTTATTTCAGCATTTTATTTTCTTTGCAATTGATATATTTGATGTTCTCGAATTTTCGTATTTTTTACTGCACACGAAACAGTTCTCGATTTAACTCTATGCGTATCATCGGATATAAAATTGCTCTAAATTTTAATCTAAAAATACTTTTTTTTTTTTAAATGTAAATCGTTTTTTATAATCAGACAAAAATTATTTTTAATACATTAATGAATTATTCTTCTTCTATAATTTCATTTAATATTTTATTGTTCCAATCAACGAACTTGTAAGTATACTAACTGTAAGTACAGTTTGAATTAGATAATTCATTTTAATCGTTCATTTTATCACAGGTTGGATTCTATGTTTTGGTAATGCAAATGGTATTGATATAAAATTATATTACTGCATTTGATAACAGTCTGAACTGATCTATAATGTACGTAAATAACCGAAGATAAAATACGTAATTTCATAATTGTTATTTTTGTAAGAATTTTGACAAAGTTTTCTTAATTATTCAAGTGTGTAGAATAAAGTTGCGAATCTTAGCACATAACTTTTTCTCGTCTTTAAAAATGCAAATACGCGAGTTGAGTTGTATATAAAACTTTTTTATAATACGAAGTATTTGTTACGTCCGTAATAAAGTTTACAGTACTGTTCTCCCTTTGCGTGCACTCGCAAAAATACCATTTAATGCAATCTTCCCCGATAGGAGATGCATAAATATTTAATGTCAAGTATCCAGTATGTACAGGCTTTTTTCTTTTGATTTAAACTTATTAATACAGAATTTTTCATTGTTGCCATACAAAATACTATTCGAAAATCATACAAGCTGTAGAAAATAATATTGAGATAAAATTTGTTTTTAGATGCCTATTTACGTTAAGTTATTTGTAAATATTGCTTGAGATTTAGATTTAAATATATAGTATCTTCTGTCATTTTCTTAACAGTCTCAAGCATGTTTCTTGAAAGTGGCAGCCATAAAGTAAACAGTTCTAAAACAAGAAACTGTATGTTAGCATACATATGTACTGTACATTTATATATTATTTAATATATGATTATATTTATAGGTTTTTGGTGACTTTTGTATGTAAACGGTACATGCTGAATAATTTAATTTCAGCAGGAATGTTACTAATAATTCAAAAATATTGTTCTAATATTTTTATATATTTTATTATACACGTATAAAAAGTAAATTGGTCCAAGTTATTTTGATATTATTAAGTGTACAAATTTCTCTGTTAATACTTGAAAAGATCAAGCCTCTTTTCAATTAATCGATATAAAATTGTCTCCTTTTGTTGTCAGTTATCCTTTATTGTCAGCTTTTAATTGTAATTTCTGTAATACTCTGCAATTTCCATCGAGATTATCGAAATCATAAAATTGGATTCTAGTGGAATGTATAAGTTGATGATTATCGCATCACTAAACCAAAATGTAAATTTTTATTAGTAATTATAATTTGACGTGATACTGAAATTATATTAAAGTTAATCCAAGAAAACTAATAGTTATGTTATATATATTAAGAGTATATATGGAATTTCATATTTCAAATGTTTTTACGTTATTAGGGATTTCAAGTTAAGTCATAATCTATGACTCCTAAAACATATATATATATATATATATATATATATATATATATATATATTCTTTTAATTATTCTAATTGTTTCAAATGCTACAGCGCACTGGATACTTGAGATACTTTCAACATTTGAATGGAATTCTATCTATAAAATAAAAGGGTCACAAGTACAACATATATTTTTTTACATTTCACTTTTAAATAATACAATATTTATAATACTTGAAATTGTATAAAATTATTATCATCAATCATTATCACCATAAACTGTAAGTTTTTTTTAATTTTGTTCTATCATTAATAGATGCATGTTACGTGTTCTTGTTATAAACAACAGTCTGACTTGTTAGATATTTATTCTTATAACGATGATATTGATAAAATTGGAAAAATATTAAAGAAATCAAGTTTATCGTTAAGTTTGATAATTCCACGATTCGGTTATGCGATTCAAAGAGGAGGAAGTTTGTGGCTACCATAAGAGCGTCTCCGTGAATATCTTTGATAATTTCATCTACCTCAATGCGAAATGTTATACCTAAGCATAATATCGAAATAATATAATATTTATTTTATTATAAATGATGTATTAGATATATTTGATATTAGGTTAAACCATACAATTAAAAGTAAGGTATGTCTTCATTTAATAAAAGATAATATATAATGGAAATAACAAGTTATCTCTTGCTTTATTCCCATTCGAAAAATAAAAGTTCAAAGGAATAGAACTTCATGAATCCCAAAATCATAATGAAAAGATTCTGATATAAGGGATCTATTATTTTTATTGGTCTATTTGTTTGTATACAATACAGATAGGTATAGTATACAAGAATGTACGCTCTGATAGAACGTTGTAACATTTTCATTAGTACTGATTTTTTAATATTTCTCTTAAGCTAATTAATTAAGATATTGATAATATTTCGGTTGAACATCTGCGTCCACTTTATGCGAAAGTTTGCCCACTACGTGTACAGTTACGATATTATGTACTTTACGAGACGACTGAATCACCGCTCCGCAATAAGTTCTGAGACTAAAATAATACCCCATTTCTACAGATGTCAACAAAGAATACCCCAAAAAGAGACTTGCAATTCCACCAAATGATACAACTAAATCCATATAACCAAATCGCATTTCTCTCTTATAAACAGCTGTCGGCCAGTTTTTTAAGATAATTCGGTTAACGTTACGTTGCTCTTTTACGATCCCTTTAACACTGTACGACGTATGGTTGCAAGAGAGCCAGCAATCACATTGGATCATTTCGATCCTAGAATCATTTAGGCAGGCGTACTTTGAAAGCGGGCATTCTGTCTGATCGGTGAACGATAAAAACCATGGCAGACAATTACAACGATCGAGTAGTTTCTCGATAAAACAATTGAATTCGCAGTCGTTTAGATTTACACCGTCACGTTTGTAATAACATTCACGTTGTCTGAGGGTTAAGTAGCGAATATCAGAAGTAGCGTGCGTTATGTCGACAATAAATTCAATGTCTATAGGAAAGTAAGGATTTACTAACGGTCTTTCACCTGGTTTCGGGGTCGCATCGATGTTTTGAGACACGTAAAGCCTGCAATTTGAAACACTTTTAATAATAGAGTAATAAATTTAATAATAAATAATTATAATTAACCCTTGTAATGTACAGTAACGCTCATCAGGATGAGACGAAGTTATCCCCACCATTTTTTTGGACCTTTGAGTCTGGACACGCGACAAACCGTATCTCAGGTTACTAATGACTGAGTCACCCAAGCCGAAAAGTAAACATTTCCTATTCGTTCTTGTAATTCTCTACTCGCTCTAACCGATTCTTACTTACTCTTACTACTTTATATTTTCTTCCGCAGAGTAAACATAGCTGAGCGACCTGAGCAAGCGTCGCTTCACGAGGGAAGATGGGAACGGATCGAATTACGATTTTCTTGTCCACCGTGTTGGGACGGTACATTTCCAATTAAGTCTCAACCTGATAGACGTTGCTGTACTTATATGCATATATAAATATTGAGCGCGTATATGCATAGTATTACCTCCAAGGATAGATTAAAGTCTCGAACTGAAGACTCCACGCGGTATCCACGATTGTAAGAGGTTCCACCGCTTTGAATTTACAACAGGCACCCACAGAAGTAAGAACTTTCATAAACAATGTATCGCATGATCCTTTTATTCCTCTGAAAATAAATAAGGATTGTTATTTTTTCTGTATGAATGGGGATACCTTCTAAAGTATCGTTAGAATTTCTTTATATAAAATGATTTATTATTGAAACATAAAAATGATATTGGGTTGCATTTACTTGTATGAACAGTTCCTGATAACATCATCGCAGTTAGGTGCCATCATCTCAAACGTACTATGGAAATTGTGTGTATTTTGATAAGCTGTGTCGAACCCTCTTAAATCGATGTTTTTTCCCCAAATCCAATTGTATAGTTGTTCATATATGTACATTTCATTCTGCATAAAAATTTATAAGGCATTAGTATTAGCTCCAAGTATGAATTAATTAAAATTGGGGTGAGGAATGGACGCTGGAGCAGTGTGTAGCGTAGCCGACCACCACGCTGAAAAACCGGGTTCGAATCCCGGCCGTCCGCGCCCCAATTTTTCAAAGTGTACGGGCTAATATAAAAAGTATCGAGAGTCTGTGACGTTAAGTAATGGAAAAATAAAATGATTACAATTAATATTGGTGGCGTGTAAAATAATTTACCTCGCGTAAACGAGAGTGATTCAGTTGAGCCCATTCGAAGCAAATAAAAATTGGAGGGAAATCGATATTAATATGTTCCGTCCTTATATCCAATCCGGTTATAGTTGGTTCTGTTTGAAATTTGTTCCAAATTATAGCGATGACAACCAAAGTTGCTGCCAGCGATGCAATCGTCAAAAGGAACCACGTTACTCTGTACATAAACCAATTGTACTTGTACGTAAGAGGTATCAGTGGCACTATATCTAAAAATTGATTGCATCAACTTCCAAATAATATCTCTCTACGCTAATTTATTATACAGTTACCTTTCCCATTTGGGTCGCGTAGGATCCACGAAAAACGGGACACCGTGCAGGGTATTCTCCAAAAAATATTCCTTCGAGCGATACCTCAAACTGTGGCGCACATCTCTCAACGACGGTTTGTAGTTATACTTCATATCGTAATCAACCGGATCACACGAATTCCAGGTATCAACTAGTTTACTTTTACTAAACAAACATTTTACATAATGAGAATAGAGGAATCGATATGCATTCGTGAATTGCATGTCGAGTGCATATACATTATGCAGATTATGGTTATCGGTATCGCCGATGGCGGGTGATAACAAGTTTTCTTTTTACACATTTAATATGCATTTAATGATATGCGTATTAATATATATAATGAAAATTTTCACTGCTTTTAGGAAATTTCTGAAAAACCGTATACCGTCCGAAAGCAGTGATTTTGTTACTATTTCTCGAGTTAGTATAACGAAGAGAAGGTAAATCGGATTTTCGAAATGAAACCGTTGTTCTTGGAAATTTTTGGCGAAGCAAAACAGCTGCCACTAAGAAACTATCGATGATTTCGGTTCGTACGGGTATTGTCTTCCGAGTATACGTTTTCCCAGTTGTATCTTGTCGTTTAAGAATCGGCCGTCGTATGTGAAAATACAAACACTCCTCATCTTCGTGCCAGCTTCTTTATTATTTTAGACCATCCCTCTTACGACCACCATCTGCACGCATACCGACGTCGTTCCGGTCTTTCGGTAGGTACCTAAGAAAATCGACGATCCACAAGTAAAACGGATGTATGCCAACGCTCTTGATGTCTTCTTTGGATCAGATTTCGTTTAAGGGGCGAAACGAGTGGAAGGCGTCCGTAATAATCTAAAATTTGTCTAAACTAAAAACCATAAAAAGAACTTTTTTTTTATTGTACCATCTTGTCTATCTCATGCGTGTTCCACGTGTACCAATAATTTTATCATTCGCTAAATTGATTTCGAATTAACGAAAGTCTCGTTAGCGTTTTATTTGTTGGAAATAGAGTATTCAGGCCGTTTCGCCGATCGAAAATGTTTTACCGATCGATGTTCCGTTCTGTGTGTTATCGACCGTGTTTGGACGTGCGTAGTCGCACGTTTTCTTTTTCCTTCCATTTCTGTCCGATTCATCTAATAAATTATTATCGCAACATTATTTATGCATGCGTGAATATATAAATTTCGGGTTCGTTGTATAAAATTAAACATTAAGATGCTTATTCGATTACTTACTTAATTTTGTTACGTACTGTACGTTGTCAGGCGTAAGATTCGACTAATCATCTCGAACTAATTTCATCGGAACCGATTTAAAACCGAAAGCGATGTAAACACTCGTCGAGAGGGCTGTTGCACCACGACTCGGATCATCGTGAGCCGCTACAATAACAAAAGTTCCCCGAAGATAAGAAAAAAGAATAGGTCGATCCCTTTTGTCAGGGGATTTGTGCGACGTCTGACGCACGGCCGAGAGCATACTTCGAAGAAAAAGAAGTGGCGCTATTCTTGCATCCAGGTGTGAGCCTGTAACGCCAGTGTAAATATACAACACTTACGCCATTCCGACCGGAGCCTCTTCGAAAACTATTATCGTATCCCCCGTTTTCGACTTTGTCGGTCATTCTTTGCTTCCCGATCCATTTCATTTTTCTAATGGGACAAGTTTTTCGTTTAAACGACTAAGCAGACTATCTTCTAGGATTTTATTGTGGAAATGGTAAATAATATCTGAAACAGGACTTTCTCGTAACATTAAGTTATGGTGAAACTACTTGTTTGCATTTTTTGCATTATTTGCAGGTTAGGTACGTATTCGAAACAAAACGTTGACATTGAAACGACATACTTATGAAATCCTAAATAATATATGATATCCAGCGGAAAATGATGTAGACTCTACGTCGTAGAGTCTTGTGTGTCGTAAAAAATAATACGTTGATGGGCATGTATGGATGTATGTGTGACCAATGCCTGACCGTAACGGCTTGTTTGTGTTAGACCTTCTAGGTGACGCTTTTTTTGAAAGTTCTTATTTATGGACCGATTCGACTCAAATTCACACCATATAATATTTGAACAAAAAGAACGTCTTTGGCGAAATTTGGACTGGATAGGTGGAACTAGATATTATACAATAAGAATAGTATTAGGGCGCAGCTAATAATTTATAACATTTTAATCATTTTGTTTTAGAAAATCGTGAGACTTAACAAGACTACATGAATGCGAGCACGTTCATAGAGGAGTTTGTGTGGTCGTGATTGACTCGTTTATCGCGATCAGAAGCTGTAAAGTCACGTTATTCACGAACTTCGGAATGGAGTGGGGAAATGGCGCTCAGTTGAACAGCGCCAAGTGCGTATCAAACACACAGCAGCATATTTTGCTTAATTATTCGAGATAACTCCTTCCTTACGGGTAATTGTTTCACAGAGGAGAATTCAATTAATTTTCGTTTAACGTTTCAGATATATTTTAAAGTAAATTTAAAATATTTTCGACACGAAAAAGAAAAAGAATGAGAATTTCAAGGATCTGAATTTCGAAGCGTTTTTGTTAATTTCCCAAAAATTTGTAAAAACGGAGCAGCCTGCTCACCGATGCGCACCGCTCGTTATTTGAAATCTGATGTGAAATGAAACGAAAACTGCGGTCGAGAAAATTGAAAATCAAAGTTTGTAGAAATCTTTCAAAAAAGAAAAGTATCACTTTCAGAGTCAAGAAATTCGCGGTCGTTGTTCGTTGCAATTTTGATGGTTGACGGTCGCTTGGATGGTTCTCGTCTCGATAAATCTCGCGTCTACGTTCGCGGTGAAAATGTTGACGCACGAACACAGGTAAACAATAATTGCATAATTAAATTTCGCGATAACGCATAATGGTAGACATTATTTCTGTCCCCTGTGTAATCTCGTTTTATCAGCGTTGGACTTTACATTTTCAAAAAGAAAGTGTTTACGTCGATAACGACGACGATATACCGTGAGCGTGCATCTGGTCAAAGACTAAAAGTCATCGGAATCCGTTCCGCGGTATCGTGGAAGCGCCGAAGGAGTAAATACACGAACGAAAGCGAAGTTGTTAGTTGGCACGTGTCGAAGATTTAAGCGCAACAAGAGGATTTACCCTTAAGCCGGCTAAAAAGGCAACGAGATTAGGAAGAAACGTCCCTCCTGGCTCTCGGGTAGCGTAGGCCGAGCCTCGCCGATGATGAACCACGCTCATCTCTCGCATAAATCCTTGGCCGTTCGAAATGCGTGAGCTTCCTATGAAAACGATCGGACGCGTGTGCGTGACCGCGTTTCCCTGTGTACGGGAATGCGAGGGAGTTCCCGAATGCGGTCTTTAGTCGGGCTTTAGTTTCGAGTAAGCGTCGCTCGAAGATACAGGACCCTCCTAGTGGTTGATTTCCTCTTCCGGCTTAACTCTTCGGCCCTCGGTTCACCGATCTTCGTCCTCCGTTCACCGTTCTCTCGATATTTTTCGGTATCCGCGCCCTTCCGATTAGAATGGGTTTGCGTTCCACGCTGTCCACAGAAAATAACAAGTTTCGCGCATCGACACCGGTCCACGACGGTTCAGGAGCGAACGTCTCGATTCGAATTTGAACCGTCGAAATAGACGAATTATTTGGTTATGGCGATCAAGATCGAAAGAAGAAACTGTTCGTGCTTCGGCGCAGCCAGTGCGGCGAACACACGGAGGAGATAACGATACCGCGGTTGTTGATTTGCAAATGCAATTTCAGGTAGCGACGTTCGCTGAAATCTAAATAGACGAATGGTTGAAAAAGAGATGTATCTATCGACTGTTTCTACAAAATGTGAACGAAATCGGTGATGTTACGTATTTCCTTCGTCGACGTCCGAATGGGAGTGTTGGTATCCGAATGTTTAAAGATCGACAATGGAGTGCGAAGGTAGTAGAATGCCGATGTGTCGCGCGTAAAACAAAAGTGTGAGTCGAGCGAGCAAGGAAAAAGAAAAAGAAGAGTTGATTTCCGAAACCGAGGGCGGTTCGGCACCATTTTGGTTTCTTCGACGAGCGATGGAACGACGCAGATTACCGAGAAGAAGAGGCCTCTCGTCGGCAGAAACTCGAATTGGTAAGTCGCCGATTCCCTTTGAATTAAAACCGATAAACGGTACTGCGTACATAACTTGTCGATACAGCCTCACCAACGCACACCATCAACGAATTTCTCACATGCATGCGTATAACTATACATCACGTGTACGGAACATCTCCGATACGTTTGACGAAATCCATCTGACTGTACAAATTACGAGAACCGAGTCAGATTTCATATTGGTTTAGATTTATTTTTCAATATATTATTACTAACATGAATTATATAATAATCTCATTCACCAGGTAAATTACAAGTTCCTACCTACAGGATGTTCCCCGAAAGCATTATTATTATTTTTACCTGCAGTGGATATTATTTATTGCTTGCGGTGGAATTATCACGAAGTTATTTCGATATTTAATATAACGACAATTTTATGACAATTTTAAAAAGAATTAATGATTCGTAATTTAACGCACTATCGTTGAACCGAACTAAAGTAAAAGAAGCGCTTTATATTAAATCTTTTAGAAATTCGTTTTAGAGTATGTCAGAATTCTAAACAGGAATCGTAATTAATCGCAATTTGAACTTTTCGTGGAACGCTGCAAATTATTTATCTGGCCCGTATCTCGTTAGACTCGTTATATATTCAATAGAATTCCGATTATGTCTCGCTATTACATGAATCGTAGCCATTAATCCAATGGACCGAGAAACAGACTCGCGTTGTGCGGTGATTTATTTAAAAGATCATTAAAGATTCGGACAATCATACGTTCATTCGACGTGGAAATACGTATAACTCCCAGCTGTAATTGTTACAAACCAGTCAACCCTTTATTTACTGAGTTTCTCAAAAGTTTTTTAAATCTAGGCGTCTATCTTGGTCTTGTATCTTATAGAGTTCTCTAACAAGCTTCCAAAAAAAAAAAATAAAAAAGAAATGCTTATGCTGCCATCCAACAATTATAAAACGAACTTGATAGAAGCGGACTCGAAAGTCCATAATTGTAACGTTGTAAAAACGGCGATCTGATATTTTAGTTGAAACGTTTAAACGATAAACCGAGTTGTACGTGTATCTCTATTGGTACAAATGCCAACTACGTCTGAAAAAAAGGAAAGACAAAAACGCGTGTAAAAACTGACCTGTTTCCGTGACTTTCAACTTATCTTCAATATCGACGCATTCGACCTTCCGATAACGCCAAACTGAGACGATAACCACGTGTACTCTGTGTCCAAGCGTTCGGTCGATAGTGAAATAATTTCTCGATAGTTGTAAAAAAAAGTTGTAGTATAAACGTTGCGATAGTAGAAACAAAAATTACATTTTCTAGCGAGTACTGCATGAAAAACATGGTTGTAATAATATATTTAAAGTTACGTAACTATTACATCGAGACACGATACATTAAATTAAATAGTTTTACCAGAACTTGAAATATTGATCTACTATATATATATACTATAAAAATATTGATCGCGGAGGATATGAATTTTGATGAGACAAGAAAGTGCCAGGACAGTATTCAGCCCATTGTTTTCCATGGCATTATGTTGCAAACAAGTAATACCGGTGACACGTCATCGAAGGAAACGAAAACGAGTTGCTCATCGTCATGTAAATCCTCGGACTGTCGTAATTCAGCCTAACAGATTTTTAGGGCTCCGCTTGGATTATCCGATTGAATATAGATGCAAGTTAAAATGCATATGTTCAGATAACTGAAAAGATAAATAAACGTTAGAGGAATTAATGATATATTTCACCGTACTTGTACTATTCTAGTACCATTTTCGAAAACTACATCGTGCAATTTTAATTTGATAGCATTAAATTAATATTAAGAGCAGACTACGGATGTTAATACATATTTATATTTCCACGGACACGGAAACTGAAACTTTGTTTTATAAAGGAAACCGGTATAAAAGTTCTCCGAAATTGATGCACGCATTTAAAATTTTATTACTCGACTAACTCGACAATCAAGCTGCTCTCGTCGGAGTATATCACGGATAATCTTATTTCATGGCGGACGATTCAGTTGCGAATGGCGGGTTTCGGAGGATGAACCACGTATAATGGCTCTATTGTAGCTTCCGTCCTAAAACCTTGGATTTTTAACCCGGGATGGCTGTTTTTGATTTCCTTTATCGCCCGCGCCATACGATGATTATCTACTCTGCAAGGAGATTCTGAAAACAGGAACAAATTATTTTCATTTGCAATTCATCATTATTTGCGCATTATTTATGTTATTATTTTAAAGCTCTATCCAATCGATTCGTCGGATTCAATTTAGGTTGAAACGCGTAGAAATAGATACAAGCCCGCAATAATAAATCGCCGTAAGAGTAATTCCCTGCATATTTACGTCGTAATGAGCACGATATCAGAGGTCACTTCGTTCACCCATCGTCAGCTTTTATACGGCACGAATAACGACAAAGCGCAGAGGTCATCAATGATGTAGGTAATAATAATGTTATAATTTTAAGAAAGCGCATTTTCAACTTATAAAACACGATTTTAGGATCAAGTTGTAGGAGTTAGTAACAAATAAGGCGCGGAGACGATTCGAACTAACGATCGACCGCTTTACCAACACGACCAATCCCGTGCCTTACGTTTCGTGTTGTCGTTTCACTCCTTGTTGTAGAAGGAGTGTATACTACAGGGTAGATCCTGCCTCGTGGAACGTATCTGGAATATAGAATGCGTTCACTGCATTTTCAATTGCACCTGTCATGTTTAGTTTCTTTTGTGGCAAACGTTTAAATGAGGTGACCTAACTTTCTGTCTCTACCTTTTCCGCTTTCTCTACATTGCACTCTTCCTTCACCACCACCTTTATCGACTCCTCTATCCCTCCTCTATCTCCGACACCACCTTTATAAACCTTGCTACTTACCTCTCGTTCTCTACCTTACCGACTCTACTCTGTTGAATACTCTCCTCACTCCTTTCCCCTTCACCTTCTTACCTCTCACTTTTCACCACTACTTTCCTCCACCTTTTCACTGTTTACGTGCGCGCGCACACACAGCCTTTCTCTCCTTCACCTTCCCTTCAATCTCATACAGGAAAACATTCGTTATAAAAGTCCATGTACATATGTAGTTCTTCCAATAAGAAACGTTTCTGTTCGTAGACTCGTAATATCGTTGAAATAAACAAAACAGATAGGACGAACTTATTGTCAATGGACTCATTATCTGTACATCGCGATTATTTCCAAATCCCTGGCGGTGGCAGTGATAATGATGAGTCAAGTTCTACATATCTGGTAGATTCGGCACGTTCCCCTAAGTGAGCCGTTGTTTTTCGAGAAAGTCGACACGCAGGGCCGTTGAATAGAAAACGAGAGACCTCGTGAATACAGCAAACCTCGTAGAGATGCATTCGGAGGCAAGGAATACGGGGCGATAATAGGTACACATAGCGAGACTCGTTGTCGGGGAGCGCTGACCGCAGAGATAACGCTTTGACCCGTTACAAGCTTCAAGCACGAAATGAATGCCTTCACTGTCTCATCCAAGCCCGCCCAATCCAAATATGTAGCCCTTTTTCTTACCAGCTCGCCCTTTATTAACCGCCCACCGCGCTCTCGCGAATTCGATCGCTTTACCTCAAATCAACGTTCGTTTCGGTGCGTTTTCGAACGGGGCCCCCGCTTCCAGCGAAATTTTCCTTTCTAACGTCTCTTTCTTCGCGGAGTTTTCAAGGTCATCCATGTGTCTCCCTCGTAAGTGCACATTTTTTTTTCTCCATCGGTGTACGTAACCGACGTCAATATATCCTATCGGATATGCGACGACACGACCTTGAAATTATATTTTACAAAAATATTATTTAAATGATTTTACAGAAATATTTCAGGCAGAGAAAATAGCTACATTTTTACAGGGCTGATATAGAAGATAATAATTAAAATAGAAATTCGAAATTTTTCGACGTTTCTCTCTGTTGCTATGCTTACTAGATAACCATTTTTATTTATTCGTAGATTCGCTGAAAGGAAATCGACGCAATTCCGATAACACGTAAATATTGTTTCAGAATTATCAGTGAACTCATCCACGCAACAGACGGAAGAAATAGCAAGGCTGTTGCCTATCAACGGAATCTCCGAGATCACAGGATGCAGGGATCGGCCACATATTTGTGGAAAAGAAGCAGCCTGTCGAACGTTCTACGACAGTACGTCCAAGTGCGTCTGCCCGCACGATTTGTCCCCTCCGACGGCTGACTTGAAATGTCCGAATCGTCTCATAGGTCGGTTTCTATGTTTCTTTATATACGAAACATATCACTGTTCGACTCATTCCAAAATCAATATGTAGACACATTCTCAATTGAAATAAGTACCTAGAAAAAATTACGAATCTGTTATAAAACTACAAAAGTTTAAATAGCGTCAATCACGCTCGAAATTTCTACGAATGGTACTTATTTGTACTTAGGAGACGAGAAACTAACGATTATTTTAATTATTTTACAGTGCCCCTAACACCGCGACCTATACCGAACATAATACCCCCAAATGGTAATTCTACCAATAGTACGACCGCCCTTCCAGAAGCCGAACAGGTAATTATATATTTTATTTACCTTATTTTATTTACTACTGTTGATGTTATTTTCGATCCAATCTTTTTCAAATATAATTATAATATTATCTATATTATTAAACAGGTGGAACGGTCGAGGCAGAGGGTACCTGAAGTAATAGGAATTGCTCTAGCTTGCATCGCGGTAGTAGTCATTTTTCTGAGCATAGTGTACTGCGTCAGAAAACGAAGTTATAACGTCAAATCACAGAGGAGTTCCTTAGACGTTCGTATGCCATCATACATGACATTACTACTTCAAACACTAAATTGTTCACTAAAAATTGTTCACTTTCTAAACTATCTATCTTCTCTATTTGATTTCCCTATCTAAGTTGTTATATAAATACGTTGCACGTCTTCTGTTCAGGGGACACCGATGAACCTGAAGAAGGGGTTGCTGTTAGCAAATAAGTACACACCTAATCCACAGTATTTCAGTTGCGCTTCACCGGAGGTACCAATTCTGCAGCGCGAATCTCTCGTATTTGTACAGGACATCGGGGAAGGATGCTTTGGAAAAGTGTACAAAGGTATAAAATAAATTTCAGAAAATATAATATATTCAGAAAATATTTATAAAGAAACTGCACGACCGATTGTTTTCAAACATTTTGATTCTTTAAATTCATTTAGGTGAATTATGTACCGGAGACTCGAAGGAAATCGTCGCGATAAAGGTTTTGAAGGATTCCGCGTCCCACGAAGCTGAAGAAGACTTTATGCGAGAAGTCGATATTATGTCCACGTTTGGGCATAGAAATATTTTGTCGCTGAAAGGAGTGGTGCTTCGAGACGCTAACAACAGTCCATGGATGGTTTTCGAATACATGCCTTATGGAGATCTAGCCGAAGTGTTGCGATCAAACACCCGTCAGCTTAGATCGCCGAAACCTGGACTGCAACCTTTGACCCAGGTAAATATTCTTTCAACTAGCGCGATGGTTAGAAATTTACTGTATCGAAATTCTTATTTCAATAACAATTAAAGAATTTTGATATACTAAATTTTTCAATTACCTGAAAAAGAATTTATCACCTGAAAAGAATTGATCGATCGATCGATTTCATTTACGTGTCACAGGAGTCTCTGCATTGGATAACAATCCAGATCGCAGCAGGCATGACCTATCTATCCGGTCAAAGATTCGTCCATCGAGATCTGGCTTGCAGAAATTGTCTCGTCGGTGCCGACCTAGTTGTAAAAATAGCTGATTTCGGCATGTCGCGGGACGTATACACCTGTGATTATTATAAGGTATACTAAACGACCCAGAGCAATCGATAACTCTTGAAGTTACATCTTTAACCCTTTTTTGTTTTCTTTAGATAGGAGGATCTCGACTTTTACCGGTCCGTTGGATGTCACCGGAAAGTGTAATGTACGGACGTTTCACGCTGGAAAGTGATGTCTGGAGCTTTGGCGTTGTCCTGTGGGAAGTTTATTCTTTCGGGAAACAACCATATTACGGACACAACAATGAAGAAGTAAGTGGAAACATCGGTTTTAGTAATAAAGACGAGTTTTTTGGTTCTTTTTTACTGCATTTATTGCAACGGTTCGACTGAGCGCTCATGGCGATGAGAAAGGAAACAAAAGAGAATAGGCGCAAGTGGAGGAGGTCACGAGGAACCACCGGTCCTCGCAGATTACCGACCATGGGCATTAGATCGACGCCTTTCACGCAACAAATTGATTTTTCATTTAAAATGTTGTTTCAGGTAGTAAAACTAATATTCCAAGGAATAATGCTCATTCCGCCGGAAGAATGTCCACCGTTCGTCTGCCAACTGATGCGAGAATGCTGGAAAACAGATCCTAAAGATAGAATCAAATTCCCAGAGATATTAGAGAGACTAGAGAAAGCTCAAGGTAAACTCATCCAGCAAGGCACCTTGCCAAGGCCACCTCAAGGACCTGTTACTATCCGAACACCGGACGTCTTGGATCCTGATGGTTATTTATTGCCAGCACCGACAATACCGCACGAATATTTGCAAACCCTACCAATTCTGTCCGATTAACAATGCATTTATCGCTAGTCGAATGAACAACAAACGTTACCTTCACTTGCCGCATACAAAGTAAAAACCTAAGTCGCGAACAGCATTTTCGTTACGGGTGCCGACCATAATCGGCGTGCGCGCGACGGTCGCGCACGTGGACTGGCGCGGCATAGTTCGCGGCGTGGTGTCCCGTTCAGTCGCTCCGCGTCACTCCAGCGGAGCGGATTGCCGTAAGGAAAGGGTTAAATACAAGTATTTGAGTAAATAAAAACGTGAAAGTAAAGTAAATCTTACGCTATACAGTCAGTAACTTTAATATTTGGATATTTCACAATTTTTACTTTGTCGCTTTGTAACTTCGAGGCTTTCAGTTACAGAAGGACGAACAACTTCCGAAATACTCATATAAGACGTTGAAAATATTAAATGTTCTAATACGGAGTGCAGTTTGTGTTTTATACGATGGAGAATGTACAGTTTTACACATATAATATACATATGCTGTAATTTATATTTTAGTGTATCGCCTACGTTCTAATATATTAAACATGTATAATATATTTATATTCGCTTATTTTTATATAGGTAATTTATAGTGTTCCTCATTAATTGAATCTCAAGGAAGAAGATAACTAATCTTAAAAATTGATACCGATCTACTTTAATAATTAGATACTTCCTAAGACTCTTAATTAATGTTTTAAGTTTTTAAATAAACACTACTTTACTATTAATGAAGAACACATAGAATAAGGGATGTTGCAGAGAATTTTTTGAAAATATTATGTACCAGTATTACTCCATATTCTTCTTTTAGTAATTGTTTTGTCACACCCGTTCATGTTATTGTTATTTTTCTGATTTTTACACGATGCGTATACATGTAACATTTCACAGAATTATATCGAATACATCGAAACGCAACGAGACCTAAATCGGCGCGAAAAGAAGGTTAAAATAATTTGACGTTACAGCGATTCCAGAACATGAAATATTGTTGCCGTGATACGATAGCTTTTTGTTTGGAAAAGATCACCGATCGGATTCGAGCAAACGAATAATAGCGTAGGTAGTGTTTATTTTCGATCAGCGTTCCATCGGTGGAATCAAAACGCCACTTCCGGATCAAACATGTTCGATGATTGTATATTCCTGTCGCTGCGATTCCCGCAAAAACTCTGGCGAATCGTGAACGAATGCAAGAGTGGCGCTATCCAATGGAGCTTGAACGGCACTACCATTCTCCTCGATTACAAGAAATTCCAGAAACAATACCTTGACGCGTCCAATTCCGTCTTCAAAACGAGAAACATCACGAGCTTCATCAGGCAGCTGAACTTGTACGGTTTTCGAAAGGTGACGTCGCATAATCGCGACCCGATCTGCAATTCCCATAACCCGAACGTCCACGAATTCTTGCACGAAAACTTTCGTAGCGGCAGATCGGATCTGTTATCGAGGGTGTATCGTAAAACCGCTGGGAAGTTGAAGCATTGCCAACGTATCGGTTTGAGATCCGTCACGGAACCGGATCTTTTAAGCAAGAGCAATGATCACGTATCGCGTTTGCAGATGTGCCGGGTAAATAAATTTACAGCAATTCTCCATGTTGTTCCATCGCATTAAATAAAATTTGTCCTTTTTTTTTTGCGCCACGGGTTAACAAGACAACTTGATACTGGATACTTTTTTTTTTCAATTCGGACATGTTTCGTTCTAGTACGAACGATAGCGACAAAATTATATTTTAATAATTTTTTTTAGTTTTTTCGTTCGGATAATCCAATATGAAGAATGAAAAAACAACAATTTTGTTTATTAATTTGACATGTCTGATAGGTCTTATATGGAAAAGCATTGATATTCCACAATAATTTGTTAATGTAAAAATATTTGAAAAAAAAATTTTCTCTCGCACGTACGATATTAACACCTTAAGGGAGTGCTCTTTTTTCTTTTTAAAAAAAAGAAAGGTGGGTCGATTGTGTCTGCTCCGTGGGGCGGCTTGCATCACCGGTGGGTCATACAAAATTATGATTACTCAAAAGTCCAAATAATCACAATAAAGTAGCTCCACCCTTTTCTTTTATTGTAATACTTCAAATTTTTATCATTCTTCTTTTGTGTTGTACAGTTGGCATTAACGAAAGCATTGCAACAAATAACAGAAGAATATCGACGAACGCACAACCAAGCATCCAAAAATAAAGATTCTTTGTGCAACACTATGGCCTCCTACAGAAAAGGTATAGCAGGTATAGTAGTAAAAATGACATTGTGTAAACACGACATTTTCAGTATTTGGTTCTAACTTATACGCAACTCGAAATCAAGAGACTAACATACAATGGATTACAAACAATACGATGCCAATTTCTCCGAAAAAGGATATCTCAAATGGGTATACGGCCTATCCTTGGTGTGTCCGTGAAATGGACAAATCTCGTGGAAAGTACTAATAAAATTTTCTATAGATCTATGTATTAAATAAGTTCCCTGTATTATTAGTATTGTTACAAAGAATGTTCAGTTGCATTTAGAACAATAATTTTGTCCATAAACAAAACTATTCTTTTCCATGAAATATGTAGTCATAGAATATTATAAGATTTAAAATATGAAACATTTATTATATTAAATGTACAAGTTATTTGTTGATCAAGAAATTTATCTGTATATATGTATAAATATTGTATTTAATTACAGATTATGAACTACTACTTGTAGTAGGTTGATTGGATGTACGTTTTTGTTGCTCCATCTTATGTCTATTTAAAAAATTTTTAAAGGACTCTGCTTCCTTATCTTCCTCCTCATCTTCTTCTGGTTTAAATACATTTTCAGTACCTTCTTCATCCTCGCTTGATTCATCACCAGCATGCTTTAAATATACATCTGAGATTTCTCTTCCACTACTGATTGTTGTTACAAGTGGTACACTTTCCTTAGTAACATTCTGTACAGCTTTCTCCAATTGTTCTTTTTCTGTTTGTTTTCTTTGAGCTTCCCGTTTAATTTTCATGTTTTCCCAATCTTTTTTATAATCCCTTATGAAAAATGTTTATTTTGTTGTATCTCATACTATTGTGTATATATATATCAATGTTTACCAACTTACTTTTCATATTCTTCTGCAGCATCCTTAACAAGTTCTAAAAATTTAGTAATACCAGCTCCTGTAGCAGCAGAAACACCACAACTACGTAAATGACTATAAAATTCATCAAGAGTTAGAGCCATACTACGTGTTAAGTTACTAATGTAACTAGTTTCAGAGTCCAGAGCTTCTTGAAATGTTTCAAAATCATACATCCAATCTACTGCATAACTATGTTCCACAACATCAATCTTGAAACATATTGTAATTATATTACAATTACTAAATTATGTAATCATATCAATGATTCAATGTGTTAAATAATTTCAGTTCTCATATTACCTTATTCATTGCAACAATAAATGGTAGTTTAGTTTTATAAAGAATGGAACATGCATAGAGCATATTGGACATGAATGTTACAGGGCTAACACTTCTCACAGTGTCTAGTACATACACTATAATTGTTGGAAACTCAGATGCTAAAGCTTCTGTTATAATTGTTCCACTTGCTGACCATGTAAAAACTTCTATTTGTCCAGGAGTATCCAAAATTACATATTCATGATCTTTACTTGCTTTATTGATAAGTTCTATGACTTGATCGAATTTTGTAGAAAATAAATTTAAAGCAGTAACAATACCGCCATTTGGGCCTAAACTGTATTGTTTCATCACTTCCTTATAATTGACAGTATCTCTTATATCTAAAACACCATTTAGAAAAATTGATATACATATATATATATGTAAATTTTTAATATAATTAATAACATTTGTGTTACAAGTACCTATATTAGCAGGATAAGAAACTTCCCTGCACGCAGGATCCAAATTTATAGCATATGGTTTTCCTATGTTATACAATACTGAAACAAGACGTTTAACAAATGTGGTCTTTCCAGACCCAGCCATTCCAAGAACAATGATACATGTTGGCTTTTTCTGTTTAGTAATCGTAGAATTTTGAGAAGAACTAACACTATTTTCAGTATGACTAAAACTATCCGTAGATTCAGACATTTGAAAATCTGCGAAACAATTAAAAACTACCTTAGAAAATTTTTAGTTATTAGATGTATCATAATTTCATTACATTAAAGCAAATTTTATCAAAAGTACAAAGTATGGTATGGGGAAATCATCCAACAAAATGAATTTATTTAAATATATTTTTATTTTGAAAATGATTTACTTCTGCTCAACTTCGTATGACTGATTTTAGTTTTCCGATTGTGCACGGTGTGCACAGAAGTGATAACAATACAATCTATAGGTTAATGTAGTTGTCAAATTGAACACATTTAGTAATTTAAACTTTTCCAAAATTTATTTTTTATTCAATTAATCTACATAGATTTACAGAGCTAATTCAATTTTAACAACTTATTCTTGATAACATACCTGAAGTTATAAAAAAAATATTTACTTTAGCACGATTGTAATAATAGCATAAACATAGCATGCATTGGCATAAATCAGGGGGTTACAAAGTTTGTAGCGTCGCGTGGGAAAAATTCATCCAACTAAAACGTGGTGCGCATGCACGAGATGCACATATATACAGTAGCGGTTTTTTTTTTAAATTGTTTTAAATTATTTAAAGAAAAGTAAACCAGAGAAAGTACGGACGCAGTTTGAAAGATTTCCGTCATTTCAAGAATTAATTTCTAAGTTTGGTGAGTGTCATAAGATGTGATCAAAAAGCACAAACAATTTCAGACTTCCTTCTTACACAGTATACTTTATTCGATTTTTGTATTATTTCGGTATAGGACTTCTTACAAAATGTACTAAAACGAAGATTAAAATTAATCTTACTACCCTGTATTCATTTTAATACAGTAATACAATCGCATTCTTCTATAAAAACACAATTGTACATTTATTTGATAGAAGCATAGTAAAAATATGTATACAACTTAATTATCAAATTACGTACAGGAGAAATACATAAATTATCTACAAGCTTCATAAAAAGCAAACAAATGTCTGAATGTATAGTTTACAATTTACTAGTATTACCACTAGTATTAAAAAATAAATTCATTGGATCTATCTACATTTGTAGAATTGCCAAACAAATTGGTAGTAGTAGGAGGAGAAATACAATAATGCTAAAATAAAAATATAAAAGAAATAAATTTATCTGGGGTCATTATCATCATTCAAATGTATCACATTCGTTAATTAAAACCTCAAAATTTGGATATGAGTAAACACGCTCGTGTTTCTAATAAGAGTAAACTTATGGAGGTTTGCCAAATTCACAATCGGTTTTTCTTTTAAATTATGAATGAATACAATTTTTTCTTTAGAGTATCTAATTATATTTACTTTTAGGTGAAAAATAGACAAACTATATCGGGCAGTGCAGGCAAGCATATAATAATGTAATATAATTTTAGTAGGATCTCTACTAGATTTCTATACCCCTATGTAAAGAGTCGAGAATCATAGTAGCGGAATGTTTTTAACATGAAAGAAGTTCATTGTCTTAAACAGAAATATCTAGGCTAAGTTCCTAATAAATCTACATTACGAAGAATGTTACTATACCAACTAATAAAGTGGTACAGAGATGTTGAAAGTGGTACACCAATATTGCTGTCCTCACCAATTCACTAGGTAGTAATGATAAATTCGTTGTAATGTAAGTTTCTACAGGGGTGGATGAGGGGGGCGGTGGCAGTGGACTTATTAATAAGAGTACCCAGCAAACCTTACCTTAGACATTGTAACATTCAATGGTCGGTGAGGACTATACAGAGTGTTTCTTAATATGTGGGCGCTTAATGTAGAGTAAGGTACCTGGGAGACTCTAGCGGCCACATATTAAGAAACACTCTGTATATCGATCTACAGGGTATATTAATCTTCTGATTGAAATAGTAATTGCTTCAGTAGATATTTTGAATTAAATTTCTAAGTTCTAATTGCACAAAACTGAGAGTTAATCCATATAATACAATCAATTGGTTTGGCACAATTTCAATATCATTTTTTTTACTTCTACAATTCATGAAATCTGCCTAATAGTTAATTGTGACATCTGAAAATACAATATTTCGAGTTATTATTGACCTTGAATAATACGCTTTGCCATCATATATCAATGATTAATCAGATACGATTTTTATAAATAAAATTTAAAAAGTTATGTTATTTAATTAAGTTTGACAACTATACAGTATTTAAGTAAATAACAATATGACACAAATAAATTCTGTTAATGATATTTATAATTAAGAACCTGTATGATGTAATGGATTCTCAATTAATAATGTTGAATTCATTTTCATGTTTGCAACGAAAACCAACAGAAAGCTACCGCTAATACCCGAGCAGTCTCTTCAATTCCCTCATTATTATGTTATTCTAAATTAATATGGTGTTTCATAATTCCTACAAAATCTTTATAAACTTTCAATAAAAAGCGTACAAACACGAATTGTGTTTTATTTCTGCAGTTTATAAATTTATAATGAGCACAAGAGACAGAGATTCCAAAGATCTGTAGAAACCATTATCTTTGAATAGTTGCAAATGTAAATTTGCTTTGTTAATAAAAATAACAAGAAATTAGATTTTTGCCTACATACATTCTGTGATATGTATATTGAGAAATTACATAACACAGATAACTAAGAGACATTGAGAATGAGTAAATAGAACAAGGTAATCTATATGTAGAAATGCACAATGAATGTATTAATATTACCTTTATGTAATCAGAAATAAAACACTGTTTTTTTTATGAGTTTACAGACATTCCAAATTTAAAAAAAAAAATGATGTGAAATAATATACAATAGACATAAGGATTTCATTTTTAATTCTATCTATACATAATTTATGCAATTTAAAAAAAAATTCGTATTTGATTTTACATAATGGTTACTTTGTCATCGCTTTGTCCCCGTTTTTTAGTGGTTAAGATATGAAATTCATGCATATATCGATGGTTCATGTATAAATTTATAAATCTTTAGAAATAGAAGCAAATCCGTGTTTGGATAACTTTTTATGGAAAATAAATAACGTCATTTCTTATAATGACTTAAATTCGACTAGCTATTCTTATTTGCTATTAATACGTTCGTAAAACAGAAGGTATGGCGTGGCACATAAAACTTCAATTAAAGATATGCTCTCAACTACGTTATCCGAAGTATACAACCATTGATCCGACTTATTTCCTCGTCTGTAGCAAACAAAATGTCCAGAATCAACAGTTCCACAATGTTCCACTATCGCGCGTAGTTGGTACTTGTATTTATCCGTTAATGTTGAACGATTAGCAAGCAACATTGTTGCTTCAGGGTCGCCCTGTACAATACATATTCCATTCTCAGTATATATGAAATATCAAAATATATTTACCAAATTAAAAAACATGTACTCTACCCTTGCATTTCTTTTTCTAGTTTCTGTGAAAGTATAAGGATCCAATGTTAGTATTTGTGGAAATTTGACTGGATCATCTCTCTTAATCGGTGTTCCAGAATTACTCCATGTAGTTCTTGATATATGCAAGCACAGACATTTAGGAAGCTTGCCTAGAGTTAAAGTTTTAGTGGAAAAGCAACGTATTCCACATCCATCACATAACACATCTTGAACAATCTCACTAGTTACAAAACGCGTTAGTAATTCTTCCAGCGTGTGATGCGATCTAGTACGTGGACCCAGAGGTGGCAAAGGTAATGAAATTGTTTCAAGTTTGTCATAACGAACAGCAGACTATAAGAAATACTCTTATTTATTCTATGTAATCAAATACACAGAAATTGTTAAAACAAAGACTGACCTTCCATTTACAGTTACTACATTGTAATTGACTAGTTAATAATCCTGAGAATGGATGTACTTCTATAGACATTGATGGAGTACTAGACACAGGCATGGCACATAAAGAGCTCCATGACTTTAGAGGGTCTTTATTCTCTTCACCTCCCATATTGTTTGAAAGCAATTCTGAAGATCTGGCAAGGATCATACCAGGCTTATTATATGCCATAAGTATACTTGATATTGATGGTGTTGAGAACATTACATGATTATTGCAATTTTTATCAAATCCATTTGGAGTGCTAACATTTCTGTTAGCTGATACAATATCATTGCAAGACACGCTTCTAAAGGACAATGAATCACTTGATTTTTTTGTATCCACTACCATTGTTGGACTTTGCAATAAAGCATCGGACAAGCAACCTTTCTGAAATGATTTCCATTGATTCATTTTAATTGTTCACTGTATGTATAATTCTTATTTAATAAATTGAGTTTATTAAGCATACCCTATTTACAGGTTGAATTTCTGCTTGCAATGCATTAAGTACAACATGAAATAATTCGTGTGCATCTTGGTGGCCTGGTGCAAAGCTCCATAAATTACCAAGAGATGAAATTATTTCAATCGGTGTTACATCACTGTACATGTCATCAGTATACCCATTAATTTCTAACAAAATAAAGTAGTTACAAATATAGATTTTTCTTGTAATAATATCTCGTAATTTAATACGCAAATATTATATAACTTTTAACAAAATAAAAGAATTAATAAGGTAATGAATATTTCACTAATGACAACATACTTTCAAAAACAGAGAGCAAAGTTGAAATGAAGGTAACTTTGCCATTCTTCACGCATTGTATTTTTAACCATCCGATAAAAATTGGACAAGCAGCTAAAGCTTGCAAAAGGGAATTTAAAAAGCAAGTATATCCTAGATTGTTGATTCCAATGATCTGTCCTAGAAAAGTATTTGAAAGATAATATACTTTTAACTAGTAAAGAAATAACATATATTTTCTACAAACTTCACAAATTAAAATACTTCTAATATACCTTTTTTTCTAGGTTTGGGGGATGGACCCCATAAAACAAACGCTGCAACGGCTATTGCGAATCCTACGCTAGCAAACACAGCTATTTTTTCCACATCCATCTTTGTACGATATTTGTGAAGGTCTGATATTTTTTTCAGAATTTTTCTAAAAGCTAATCTATGTGCCAATTTCGGGAACAAAACTATCGTCGTCGAATACGCACATATTTATTCACGATTAATTAAGGATTCGCAGCAGAAAGGTCTGAGTTCGCATTACTTCGTTTCAAATCAACAGGAGAGGAACAACATTCTTTTAAATAAATCGGTCATACTTCCTACGATGTAGGCAATAATTCACTAATACGATAAAAAAATATTTGTAAGATGAGCTTTAATTCTTTCCAGCGATCCAATTCAGAGCGAATGTCTTTATCATGGAAAAGAATTTCAATTACACAAATAACGAACAATATATACACCCGGTATCAGCGATTCGTGCCGTGAAACGGGAAATGGGGGAAATAACTAGATATTATATAACTAGAATCTACTTACTAGATAAAGGTGCATCTTTATATGTTACTAACTTATCCCTAGGTGGTTCGGGAGGTGATTTGAAACAACTTTTTCTTTAGCGAAAATGTTGTCCGAGGCTTCGTTGAGAAGATATTAACGGAAAACACTGACCAATCAGAGCGCGCGTCACACTCAATCATACTACCAATCAGCAGTTGGAACGCATCTAGTACTTACTTTCACGCATCTATGGTAGAGGGCCTGCTGACTCGAAGCCTTCTAACCTATGTGGTATGTCAAGTTTTTTTACATTGGTATTTGTATGTACTTCGCATCCGTTCCATACACTTATAATCTATCGGACTACAAGTTTATGACCCGTACGCGCTTGTATTTCATTCCAAACAAAACGATTCAAAATAACGTTACCGTTAATATGTTTTCTCTCGATTTTTCCCAAACTTTATTGTATGCAAAGTAGAATGATCGGACGTTTAAATTCCTATCGCGAGTACTGGTGCGAATTCAGTGATATGTACAAGAAGGTAATTTAGGGTGACCGTGGATGACTCGAAAATGTTCCCACGTTTCCGCTTCGCAAGTGTGTGTCAGGCGTGCGTGTGAAATTCCTTAGCGAGGAAATGAACGCCCAGGGGCAGGAACACGGTCATGCTGTGGTTGTTTGGGAATGGGAAAATCGTCACGGACGATGGAGGCCCTATAGTCCTGCGGTGTCGCAACATCTCGAGCGGGCACATTGCAAAAAACTCACAAGGGTTTTTCTTAATGACGCCGATCCAAATTTGGATAGGTTCGATTTTAAATATTATCGTTCTGCTTATGTCCTGAATATTCCTACGTACCTTTTCCGACAAACTTTCGTAATATATTCTATGAGCAGAGAGAATTTTATGCAAATGGCATAAAAATATTATAAAAAATGATTTGCGAAAAAATTATGACAAACTATACGAAACATAAAAAAAAAAACAATAAGTTCGTTCACCTTCGTATCATAGAATATTGTTTACAATTTTAAATCTGTAATAAGTGTTTGTTAAAAGCTTGATTAATTTTTAATTATATTCATATTTAATGCTACAGAGTCACAAGAACTTATATTGCTAATATTTTAAATAGGTATTACATAAACTTAAAAACTAAAATGCAATGTAGCGAAGATAGAGATGAAACACATAATGTCAGAAGAAAGTTTTACCTTCCAAGTTCACCAGCCGGAAAGGGAGCTAAATGGGAATGGGCTGGTGATACAGATGATTGGCACACATACGACATGGAAGTCCAATGTCTTATAGAGGAAGCATGGGCAAGAGTAAATATCGATCAAGTCGTATAATATTTGTTATAGTAGTGTATTGATGTAGTTTTAATTGTGCGTTTAATTTTTTTTATTTTAGGGTGAAAAAACTATTGATGTTTCTAAAACATATTTAGGTTTCCCTTATATTATCAATTTTTGCAATTTAACACAAGTACGTTGCTGTACTGGATATGTAAGACCGATACGACGTATTCAACAAGCACCTTATCCTTTAGTTAAAGTTGCTTTAGAAGAGTTACAGATTATTTCTGGAAAAAAAGCTAATTGTGTAACTATTAAAAGTTCCACTACAAAAGTAGCACATAAGAAATTGTCTACAGGAAATACAAAAAAGAGTAGTAAAAAGGTAGGTAAAAATATTTGTTAATGTGGATATGAACATATTGCTGTACATTCATTTATGTGTCATTAGGGAAAAAATGGAGATACCGGTCCAACAAACATTGCACGGGTTATACTCAGCAACTTTAACATATTTAGTAATAAACATGGTATAGAAAACAGTAATTCAGTTGCATCTATTGAATCTGGACAAAAAAGAAAAACATGGGATAATGTTCTCGATGTAGATTCTAGTAGTACCAAAAGTGGACGTAGACCCAGTGTTGATACTGTTTCTACATACTTGAGTCACGAGAACTCGGTAGATTTGTTAGATAACAGTATGGGGAGCGATGATGCATTTAAAGATTCTCTTTTGAGTACGGAAACTGAAGCAGATGTTATTTCCCAATATGTAAAAGTAGTAGAAAGCGATGATTCCGATTCTTGTCCGGTGTGTCTCGGTATGCCTGAACCATTAACGGTAGAATTAACTCGCTGTAGGCACAGGCTACATTTAGCATGTTTGAATGCAATGCTAAGTTGTCAACAACCTCCTTTGTATATACAATGTCCTGTTTGCCGTTTAATTTATGGAGAGAAAAGAGGAAATCAACCTCCTGGAACAATGAATTGGACAAGGATACCACGGGCTCTGCCTGGATTCCCGAATACAAATACAATCCAAATAACTTACGATATTCCATCAGGAATTCAAGGAAATGAACATCCTAATCCTGGTCAAGCCTATTACGCTGTAGGTTTTCCACGAGTATGTTATCTTCCAGATAATAATCTAGGTCGAAGAGTTTTAAGATTACTACAAATTGCTTTCGAACGTAAATTGATATTTACGATTGGTCGGTCGGTAACTACTGGATTAGAGGACGTAGTAACGTGGAATGAAATCCATCATAAAACTGAATTAGGACCATCAACATCCAATCATGGCTATCCTGATACAAGTTACCTTGAGAGAACTTTAGCTGAATTGGCAGCACAAGGCGTAACGGACGGGCAACCACCATGTATCCTAAATCAATAATTGCATTGAAATACCGTTTGTGCATTTAATGATTTTTAAGCGTACAAGTATTAATGTTAATATTCTCCATACACAATATGTTACACTAATCTTTTACAGGGTAAAAATGTTTTTTTGGAGACTTTCAAAAAGACATACATAGGAGTACTACTGCAGTACCCTTCTAACTTGAGTGCAAATATTAAAGAAATACAAAATCAAATTTCATATTTTGAACTATAAAATTATTGAAGCATTTATTTTTTTACAATTTATATATAAAATGTGGAACATTTTTAAGAATTTCAAAAATAAATATATTAGCGCTTATTTTAGCAGTTATTGCGATAACTTGAGCAATTCTTTACGTACTTTTAAGACGGACATAAGCTAAGCTGGGTAGCGTAAAAAAACAAAATGGTACAGTAGAAGCCACTATACAAATTGTTCTGATATACGCACATGTTTACATTTTTTCCTAATTTTTTATTATTTTTATTATTTATACGTAAATTTTAAATTACTGTTAATTACTTATATTTTTATTAAATATTACTTCTGAACAGTGGTATCCATTAGGAGTGTACAAGAAATAATGTAACATTAAATAAAATTGAAGGAGAACAATATGCGTACATATATTTTCAAAGTGTGCAAATATTTATCAACTTAATACGTAGATGACGACCGATATGTGATCAATGTTGTAAGCGTTGCTTACAACAAACCGAACGCAGTCAATGCAATAAGCTGTATTCTGCGCACAGTTCTAGCGCAGGTTAGTAGCTCCCTAGATATTTAACTTGAAAACAAAAATCATTATCATCTATTCTATGATCTACGTTACAGTTTTTATATTTTCTCGTACTCAAGCTATGTATTTTGAAAGAAGAATTAAAGATACATGTTTTATATAATCGTATTATAAATCTCAAACATGTTTTATTTTCTTAATTGCTGTAATGCAAAATCAATATTTACATTAAAATTGCCTGGCGATTTCATCTCTTAATTTTAGAATCTAAAATAATTAAAACATGAATCCACCGTGAAGAAAGTTGTTTCGTACTTTTTGCGTTGTTGATAGATGATAGGTGGCGCGACTTTCAACACAATAAAATGGCCGAAAACTGATTTTTCTTCACGAACGTGAGTTCTATGAAATTTCTAACATTTATTCGTGAATGAATGCCGTGTACATTAAAAAGCAACGATGTTTTAAAAGAACAAAGTTGCATCGTTGCGAATCGTGATCGATTAACACACATATATTGCTATTGAATTGTACGGTGCGAAGGATCTGTATGTTATATTATCTGGCGTAGAAACGTCCGGTAAATATCTGATGGTTTTTCCGAAATAGAAATTCGCGCTTAAATGAGTGCTAAAAGGCAGCACAAGTGCGTTCTCTGTGACTCGAAATTGGAATCGAAGGAAGCCCTGCAGGCACACTTTAGGTACTAACAAATGCTATTTACTTTGATCTTATTTATAATTATGTGAACGATTTCATAAAATACAAAGTCCTTTAAACACGTCTTTATTTAATTTTTTTTTTATTCTCACACAATTTGTGTAGTCGATAAAAATGATTTCAAATAGTTCATATCCTAATCATAACATTCAGCTGCATTACCGATAGAGTTCAATTATTCGCGCTATTACAATTGTTTTCATTTCTAATAGATGCTTTCACGTCAGGGTTATTGAAATAGTAGTAACATACAATAATAATAAATCAATATTACGATAAAAATAAATAATAATAATTTTTTTGATACATTTTATCACTCTTTTTAGAAATAAATAATTTATTTTAAACCTCAGCTTTCTTTAGACATTATAATGTCGAATATATTATTTGAAATATCATTAAAAATTATTTGATAGAATTTTCGCATTGTTATTTGAAAACAAGATTGATTATATGTACTGTCATGAAATACAAAGTGCAAGCATGTGTTTAATTATTTCTGTCAAATCTTTTAACTTCATGTTTGGATCTTCTTTGATAAAATGTTGAAATGAACATCACATCAATAGAAGTAAGGAGAAAAAAGTATTATTGTATGTAGAATAAATAATTGAAAACTCAAAAAGTTCAAACAAAACTAAAGTTCAGGATTTTATAAAACATTGACTGCAGATTATCATAATATTCTTTTTTTTTTTTAAGTGGAGATAATAAGTAATGTTTTTGTTTTTCCTTTAAATTTTATTCAAATCATTTATTTCTACAAAAACAACAGAAGTAAAATAAAGGAACTTTTTTTAGAAAACTTTAGTTAACAAATAAAAAAATATTTTAAGAGTAAGAAATTGTATTGTATGTAAAAAGTTAAATTCATTATGCAGAAAGCATGCCAACAAAGAAATAGATACTCGTGGCAGAGCTGTCAAAACCAACAAAAAAGCTGATACCCAGTGCGATATGTGTGGACAAGCATTTGATTCAATCACCGCAACTATAAGGCATAGATTTAAAGTCCATCCCAATTCACCAACAAAATTTTATTGTCATTACTGTGGAATGCAGTTTCCTTTAAAAGTACGTTTCTCCCCTTGCAGATTATAGTTATATCGTTATCTTAATTTTCTAAGTTATTTATTTGTTTAATTAGACACACAGGGATAATCACCAAGCATCACATGATTCATCTGAAAGTGAAAGGAAAGAACAACACAGGAAGTGTGAAGACTGTGATGTATTATTCTACAATGAAAAAGCTTTAGATTATCACTATCGTTCTATACATAAGAGGTACAATGAAGAAATATTTTGTCAAGTCTAATGCTTAAAATATTTTCAAATTGTGTTATGATACCATGTTCATAGGATATTTTATTCATAGAATGGTACATCTTTTCAAACCAATTGCAACACCACCTCCTAGCAATAAAATTAAAGTGAATTCCATGAACGATGCTCTCAGTGTATATTATTGCCATTTATGTGGTGCTGAGTATGTTATAAAATTCAATTTACAACAACATTTGGAACGGGCTCATACTCAAGTAAATCAATATAGATAAAAATGATAAAGAATTTTTAAACAAAACCTTTCAACATTAATTATACTATATTTATGAGGTTGATTTTATTTATACATTTAACAGGAAGAGAGAGAAGCTGTCCCAGAAGACTTAATAAAATGCACAGTATGTGCTGCCTTATTCTGTAGTAAAAGAGCATATGAAGTGCATAACAGCTATCACCAACCAGATGATTTATATGTAACATCAGAGGAGCAAAGATTACAAACAGTAACTAAAGTAGATCAAGATTTTGACATTAGACGAGTAGAAGGTGTAGCTGATAAGTATGTCCCAAAAGTTAATGCACCCAAAAGGCCTGCCAACAATGGCAAAAAAGTATGATAATCAAATTAATTTCCTTTATCTTCTACTTTCAAAAATTATTATTATAAGTAATAATATATTTGTTTTGTAGATCAAAAAGATACAGAAAATAGAAGTCAAAGATACAGAAGATTATCACTCTTCTGATGATGATTCAGAAGGATGTATTCCAACTAATGAATCCAGTGATCCCGAAAGTGATCTTCCATTAAAACAAAGGATTTGTAGCTAACAGAGGTCTATTATTGTTTATAAAGTATTTCTACATATTTGAAAGTTTCCAAATATCGCAACTGTGTTAAAATTATTGTTTTAAAGTTTATGGATGTGTAAGACATAATTGTAGATGATAATCTCTATATTAGTATTTTTTTATTAATATATACATATATTTTCATTTATTTAATTTACCTTCTCGCAAATAATTTTTGTTTATAGCATTGATTCATTCCTTGCTGTAAATACATTGTCCGTACTTAACATATTTTCACAAATGTTTATGTATGATGTAATCACTTTTACGAAATATATTATGTATTCAATAAAATATCCAAGTACAGCACTTAAAGCTTGTATTAGAAATTAGGATGTAAAATGATTGCGGTATTGTTACATATCATTAATAAAATAGTTTTCCTATTAAAACGATAATATAATATAATACATCTTCTCTTTCATATTTTGATTTTTATATAAATAATATCTATAGTAATATTTCAATTAGAAAGTAGTATTTATACAGTATTTTACTGAATTTTTACTATGTCCATCTTGATGTAACCATGCGAATGAACCTAGTGACTTTTCTGCGATCCTATTGGCTACAGCTCTTTCCGTCAAACACGGAAAAGATGCAGTCGCCATTTTGCGTTATTGGTTTTTACGTGTGTATGCAGTGCAGCTAGTTTGATATACCAATTCTCATTACGTATCGCAAAGCATTAATTAGCATATTTTTGCTAATCCTCGATTGTTAAAAGCCGACAGAATAGAATGGGACGTAAGAAGAAGAAGCAGTCGAGACCCTGGTGTTGGTATCCTTTTCCAAAACACCCTTCGTTAAGGGATACTTTACGTAACTGTATTTTTAGATCATAAATCACGGTCGTAATATATTTTGCTTTTGTAAAAGTCAGATCGAAAATATCCCAACAACGTATCAACTACTGTACCGTTTCTGTTATCGTACTCTGTTTTCTGGTTCGAAGATCGCTATCACATCGTAGAATATTCTTTTCAAATGCGTTTAATGTGTATGACGGGTTAAAGTGGCCGATTCTTTGAGAAATCGATATTTCGTTAGCCACTATAACCGACTAATACTTTTACCGTCGTAAAACGATTCGTTTATGAAGCGACACGCTTTACTTCAACTTCGTCGATATAGTACATGCTACTTTTACTGTTTTAAAAGTTTTTTGAAATGAGCAACTGATATTACTTCAAGAAGGATAAAGGAATGGAATGAAACTTCACTGAACACTACTTTGGTTGATATTGTTTTGTGTTAATATGGTTTTTGTGCTTTGTATAAAATCTACATGTTTAGTTAAATACGTGTAATTGTAATGCATGTTATGCAAAGAGTGCATATGACCAACAAATTGGTGATTTGTGACAATAATTTTGTGCTTCATTGTTTTGAGCACAGTCAACTTCGATATCGGTGCATACTGTGCGTGGAAGACTTTTTTAATCATTGAATATATATAACTGCTCATAGTCAATCCGTTAAAACCAATTTACAAAGGTATGTGCCAACTGTGAAAGTATCTTCCTAGATGTGACTAGGAGAGTCATTTTTATTGTTTTATTATCCAACTTATATAACTACATTATTGAATTGTATTGTAGGGTTTATATCAGATTTGTATTATCCAATAATTTTACAGTGATCTAAGCGAATAAATATCATGAGTGATGTATGCTTCTTTAAATGAAACAAAATCTACTGTGAAGACATTTGTGTTTACATCAATTGCCATATATGTAAGGTTAAAATGATATTGTCCATTTAAATTTTTAAGTTTCTTGATGTCACATTTCTTTTTATATCTAAATCTTCTCTACCTGTACTAATAAATTGATTTGGTCAAAGCTTGGTATTTTCATATGATATATTTTAACAAATACTGTGGTCACTATAGTTTTAAGTTTTTAATTTATAATTTTCAAATTTTCTGTGTAAATTGCTTTCTCTTCATTTACTAAATACGTAATATGTATTTACCAATATATAAGTATACTAAAAGTATATATTTATATTTGTATATTTCCTTAATACATTTGATCAGGTATTGTAATAGAGAATTTGAAGATGAGAAGATTCTCATTCAGCATCAAAAAGCAAAACATTTCAAATGCCATATCTGTCACAAAAAGCTTTACACAGGGCCAGGGCTTAGTATACACTGTATGCAGGTAATGTTTACAGATTTTTGTTCAGGTATTATACAAGTATAGAGATAAGTATAAAAGAAACTAATCATTTCAATGTTTTTAGGTACATAAAGAAGCAATAGATAAGGTACCTAATTCTTTGCCAAATCGTAGCAATATTGAAATAGAAATTTATGGCATGGAAGGTATACCGCCAAATGATGCAAAAGAACATGAAAGGCAAAGGAATGGAGGCAGACCTGGTTCGCCGAGCTCTGGCGAAGACGAACCTGTCCGGAAAAAGACAAAGCCAGAGGGTTTGTTGGGTTCTGCACCAGGGGCAATGCCTACAGGTTCAAACATGATGCAAGGCGTAATGCCAGGTATGGCCGCTCATCCGGGTATGCCACCAATGGGGCAGTTCCCACCACCTATGCACCATATGATGGGACCTATGGGTCATGTAGGTCCACCTTTCATGGGACCTGGGTATGTATAATTTTTTCTTTTAAAAGCAGACAGCGTGAAAGAAGAATAACTTTTGTGATATTAATTTAATGCAAGTTAGGTAAATACAATCTTTTTAAGTTCTTAAATTTATAAGTATTGTAAAAGGAGAAAAGGCATACAAGAGTGAACTAATGAATTTTTGTTTGTTTTTTAGCATGATGCCTGGAATGCCAGGTATGCCACCAGGTATACAACCACCGGTGTCAGGTGCATCTATTCCACCAGCTCGACCATTATTTCCAAGTGCCGCGGCTGTTTCGACAGCTGCGTCTACAGCTGTGACCTCTCCTCTAGGCACAGATTTTAAACCAATTACGTCAATAGCTGGTGGTTCTATAGGACCTATTAAACCAACATTCCCTGCTTACATTAATGCCGATAGTAATACCACCACTAGCAATAATATTGGAACAGATCAAAAAGTAAATCTTATAGCAACTACTAGTGCTGCTATTAAAATCATTCATCCACCAGAGGATCTTAGTTTAGTAAGTTGATCAATCATTATTTATATGTTTCCATTGAATTCGGAAAGTAACGAAACGAAAATTATAGGAGGAAATTAGAGCAAGACTTCCAAAATATCAACGGCGGCAAACTGAAGAAACTCGAACTGTACAGACTGATCCTAGTCAACAAGCTGCTGCTTTGCAGCAGCACCATCAACAACAACAACAGCAACAACAACAACAGCAGCAGCAGCAGCAGCAAGCTGCAGCTGCCAATGCAGCTGCTGCATTTCAGGATCAGCAGCAAAGACAACAAGCTGCATTAAATGCTCTTCAACAACAACAAAGATTTCAGAGACCTCCACAGACAGTCATGGTTCCTGCATCGGCTGCAATGCCTGTTAGTTCAGTTGCTCTGATGGCACCGCTTATGCGGCCTACTATGACTCTAGCTGCACCTGCTCTGATTCATGGAGGTAACATGATGCGACCGCCCCCCATGGGCCTGCCACCAGGTAAGTGTCTATTATTTTGTATGCTCACTCTGTTCCAATGAGAGCACTCCCGCAGTACCCATTAATCAACGTGAATATTTCAATTATTTAAAATTGTTTTATGTGCTCGTGCCAGTATTTAAACCTGAAACTATCGAGGATGATTAAATAAATGTGCGATTCAATTTTGTTTAAACCCAAAACTATTCCGTTTTCTATATCTTATTCGACAAATTTTTCGGTAAATATTCATAAATTTTCATCGATATCACTTCTATGGTTTCACGTTTAGTTTTTGCTGAAGCCAATATAAAAATTACGTATAAAATCTTTTGTTTTAGACACATTAACGCATACATATCTATATATATTTACAATTTTAGAATTAAACGCTAAAGTTAGATAATACATTGTATACTTCATAAAATATTTGCAGTATATTTTTAGTTAGGCATTAAAATAATAACATTGATATTAATGTAAAGAGATTTCAGAGTATCCTAATTAGGGAGATAACTTTGGACAATAATGAGTTTATCCAAAAATCTTGAACAATATTCGATTCATTCGCTATAAGTATAGTTTCATTTTTTTAACGTGACAAATGCAGTATAATATACCTTTGCACTTCATCCACTACCGAGCAGCCCCTTGCCCCGACCCCTAATAACAAATTAGATTTGCCCGACGGCTAGAACTACGTTACGTATGAATGATAGTGACAGAGGACAAAGACTTAGGGGGAAGTGTTATAATAAGGCACATAAGATATTTAAATTTCAAGAGTGTAAAAGAGAGAAAGAGGAAGAAAGAAGTATGATTGTACAGATACTACGGCACACACAGGATTCACCTGTGTATCAAAATTGATGCGTGTCTTGTACGTTTATGCTTTAACGGTGCGTTTGCAGGGTGCCCAGTCACTCCTTGGTGAGTGTCAAACGAACCCAGTCTGGTTACTAAAACTATGTTTTATACAAGCGCAACAAGGTTGGTCCTTAGCAATTAGCATGCGGTGACATGGCCTATATATACATATATATATAGCTATATATGTATAAATATGTGTATATATATATACACATACACACAAATTATTATTCTTATTAATTATCATTACTTTTATTTATTATTATTATTATTATTATTATTATGATTATATTATTATTATTAGTATTATTATCATCGTCACATAATACACGTATATATATTTCTGTATATTTATATTATTGTCACTGGGCAGGTGGGTCGAGCGGCCAACGATATTGCATCTGTTCTGATTCCTTCAACGCCGGACAGCCACACTTTGATTTTGGACACATCACGACCCTTTGGACGTGAAATGCCTCTTCTTGAAACTAGAGTACTCGGTATCAGAAGCACGATTATGCTAGATTTATATTTTTATAATTGCGGTATATATAATATGCCTGCTTTTCAATTTTAATAGAGAAATTTACAGTTTATATATACATAACGCATATGTATATGTATATGTATGTGCGTGTATACACTTACATACATATATATGTCCATAGATATATTTTTCTCTGAATTGATAAAAGCTCAACTGCGAAATTAATTCGACTTTCGGCCGCTCGGCTGGTTCATCATATATATAATTTTTTTTCTGTTCCATTAGCTTCTTTATTCACTATCTCCACTTAACCATATTCTTCTTACGACTCACTTGCCGTTATCTTTCCAACCTTATTACTATCCCGTCTCTTCATATTACTTATATAGCTTGAATTCCTGGTGTTGTGATATAGTAGTGAAGAAATAGCTTCTTAGGCACGGTACTGACAGTCGTTCGAAGTTGTCATTTTAACAAAAGAAAAGTCGATGCATAATTTCGATGATAATAACCATCCCTTCCTTCTTTATATTCACAGAGGATTTTTGAAACTTTACGTTTACTGTCTTCTTTTTTTTTTTTTTTTTTTTAATCATTAATTACAGAATATAGAATAATTGGTTATTTATGTTTATTATGTAATTACGCTGAATAGAATTATAGACTTTAATGGTACTTGAATCTATCCAATGGATCGATTAGATTTTCCTAACGTAAACGACATAATTCCTCCCGAGTTTGGACGTTTCAACGAGAGGTTTACCACACATGCTTCAAAGTACTTGCGTACAAAACAGAAAAAAGAGGGAAGGGATTATTTTTGGTGGAACTGTTTTCATCGTAGTATATATCATGATCAAAGAGAAATTTGCAACAAGAACGAACGTAATGTATCTCCCTCACACCATAGCCTTAGCTTTTGTGTCACACAAACGATTTTAGACAAGTCGTGTCAATTCACAGTAAATAAGCGATTTCACGTTACCCAGTATACTTACAATTCATACATACATCTGATTGCACTTATATATTTGATACCGTGCGATAAAGGTGCCTAATTTAATATCGACAAATGAGGGGATCACCATTACGATCAGAATTTTACTCTGTGCCTATATTGTACATTATTAATGATCGTTGCCAGTAAGAGCTATACGTATAAACAAATAATTTCGGGATAGGTGTAGACTATTTACTTTAGATAGTGTTAAAGTATTTAGTAATACCGATGAAATTTGAGCTTCAAACATTGTTTAAATCATTGGAAATCGAAACACTTGCACACAGGAATCAGAATAATCAGAAAAAAAAAAAGGAATATCGATGTTACAAACTTATGTTATTACTTCATTTGCTTTTCGTGAAAGCGCTTTTGGAGCAGTGTCTTGGAAGATCGGTTGGCAGCCGAGCGATTTGCTCATAAGATGATAAGATAAATACCTAACGGTTCTCTTTCTTTCTTTGTATGGTGTGAGGTTTTGTGTGGTATCACATTTTGTCCGTTTGTTGTGATTTGTATTGCATATGCGGCACTTTGCATGCTGAGCTCAATTCCTCGTATAGTTTGGCAATTTGCATCGATAAAGTTGCTAGATAGACGTAGGTGGGCTGCTAATGATAAACCCTTGCGGGTGTATATTATCCTAGAAGACTCGAGTCTCTCTCTCATTTCATCACTTTACAAAAGAGCACATCATTGAAGGAGATATGAGATGTATTTAAATTCTTGAATCAATTTCGCTATGAAAATGTTTTTCCTTTCTCTGTTATTTTACTTTCGTATTTAGTAAAACGGAAATACTATATAAAATAATATTATCGTTAAATGGTTAAGGAGACTACCGGTTGGACTCTGTTATTTTTGTCGAAAGGAAAACCAATTTTGTTGTGAATTTTATTTGAGAAAATACCATCGGTCGGCTGTCAGACAACTTCCCGTTCAGAAGAGTATACCTTCTCTCGAGCAGTTCGGAATATATTGGAAGAAATGCCAGCGGTGTGCATGAATTAGGATTGATATTTAATTTTGCGCTACGGAAACCTTACATTGTAGAATTAATCGTTTTAACAACGTTTACACATGAACCGTTTCTTTCAAAATTCCGTAACTTTTCTACTGAACGTTACGCAGCCTCCAAAACAAAACTGCAAAATTCTTGTCGAGAAGAAACGGAAGACAGAGTGCAGAAAGAGGAGAGCAATGTATGCATTTAATATACTACACGTACATAGAGATTTATTTATGTTTAACTATTACTCTCGCGACGTAAGTATATATAAATGATTATTTACAGATTGTTGAGACAAATAAAATAAGACGTTGAAGGAACGATCGTGGGATTAAAGTTTTTTCGGTTATATTGATTGACGATGCGTTGTCTTTTTCAGGGATGATAGGAGCGTTACCACCAGGCGCGATGCATCCGGCATTCGCAACCCCAATGGGTTTTCCTGGTGCGCCGATGTTGGCTCCAATGATGCACCCACGCTTCAGATGATCACCTCCCATGGACGGGCCCACCCCGCCACTGCACTTCGTGCTTTGGGCCCGCCCCTAAATTTTATTAGGGTTCGGACCTGATCGAGAAGAAGAAAGAAGCACGCGTAAAACATGTTCGCTCGCGTGGACACACTTCGTTGATCGGCCGCGGCTGCACTTGACGCATCCTCTCCCACGAAGTTTACAAGAAGTTAGCAAAATCTTTGTTTTTTTAATTATATATGATTGCAAAACACATCACGTCAGTGCCTGAGAGGGTTTACCAGGTGCAGTGGAAACGGTCGGCTGTTCTCCTTAGACTTTGCACCAGTAAAAGGAGAATAAACAATTTTACAATCGTTTGCATGGCTCCACGATTACACAAAATCAAAGCACTGCTGTAATTTCATTCTAAAGGAGCTTGAGCCATTCCGAATGTTGTACGACAAATTTGTTTGTCTAACAAACGCATCAAGGTTTTGATCCTTCGAGTAACCTTTAGTACTCATCTTTGTTGTTATATTGTCATCCACATATCTAGCATTGAAATTATAGTTTTATAAAACGTAATGGCAGTGCGTTGTTGATGACTGTATTAGCGCGAAAGTTTCCGTTAGGATACTCCTAAGCTGCTGATACAGACGTATTGTTGCTAAGTCATATGTAAACAATTCTACGTTGTTCGTTATCATACGAATGACGAAGATCAGTTCCGAAAGGTGTGAACTTTCGATTGATTAGTCTAGAAAAAAGGAACTTCTACACGACCCGGTATTCTGTTATTTTACGGTAGACCGTTTCCACGCGCTGTTTCTCAGCCTCTGCACCAGTGTTCTCTTGGAGAGACGCGATCGCGGAAAGGTGGCGCTTCACACTGCAGCTATTATATGTAGAAACTGAATTTACTTTCACGGGAACATCCTAAAGTACTAATCACCGACTTTTACGAATCTTTTGTACGAAAGTTACAAAAATTTGCCTACCGTTTCTTTTATCGATAATTCATATCGAGAAATCTAATTTGGTACGAGATCATGACAACTTAGCTGTAGATGATGATTAAATGCGATATAAATCAATTTTTTCGTCGGTTTTAATATAAAACCAGCATTTTACATTTTTTCTCGCGTTTCTATTTTTCATGTGGATTTTCAATTAATAAATTTGAATGTTTATTTTTCTACACTCGTTGTTAGTTACTGCGCAAGTATAACAAATTTTCGGTGTGGACAAGTTTCGTAATTAAATTATTTTCCACGCTTGATCGTTTTTAAGATGACTATTAGCACATTTACGATATGGATGTTCACCGATAAAGGAAATAATGCAATAACATTTTTGTAAGAATTACTAATTACAAAAGTTTTATTAAAATCGGTGATTAACACTTTATAATGTTTTTCGTATTCTTTGAATTTACTCTTCCTCTGTTAGGAAATTATTGTAAACTTACTCTAAATGTATATATCGATTATGTAAAGATTCTACATTTGTTTAGGATCTTAATTTTGTAATATACTTCTGTAAAATATCATTCGCGTTACTTGAATTTCTTAGTTGAGAAGGTATGAAAATGCAAGCCGCAGTGTGAACATTCTGTCGCCTCAGGTTAGTTTGCCACAACTTTTATTTTGTTAACGTTTCAGATCGAGTCGTTTTGCTTTTGCTCGGTAATTCACATCCTCCCACCTTCGAGTGGCGTTTAGAACTTTATAGAAGAACTTTAAAGAAGATACTATTCATCCCAGTAGCTAAAGTTAATTAAATATTACAAGTATCTATAACATTAAATTGTCATAAATTATTTCGATGATACATCGACCACAAAGCAGAAGTAATCGATTCGATCCGAGAAAGCCCTCTTCCTTTGCAAGGAACATGTTGGCGACGCATGAGTGAGTGGTAAGTACGGAGGGTGCTCACAAAAATCGACACCAGCTCTCTCTACACTCGACTCACGCCATTTTCTTTACTTTGTCCTATATTAAATCACTGGCGGTCCGATCGTGGAGTATACCATTTTAAAAAATTTTAATCATCGCAATGTTTAGTCGATACTCCTGTCGGATGTTCGTAATTTGTTCAGTCACGTTTCCAACCGTACCGAAGCTTTAAACATTAGACTCTACAATCGGACGAAATTCTGCTCCATCCTTTGGAAAACTTCTCATCCCTCTTTCGTCTTTCCCACTATTATTCCAACGTTTTCTTTTCTATCGTTCTATTACTTCCTCAGGGTGTCTACTGACAACGAGACGATGCAAATCGTCGAACGCTGAAATACATTCACATTTATGTAATGCGGTCTAACTCTGATATGCGAAGAAGAAAAAAAGAAAAAAAAGAAACGATAACATGTGAAAAGAACAAAGATATTTGTAGAAAACACTCTCTTGTAGGTCGATGGTGATCGAACGTTTGTTTCTTGGAGATTTCAGTTGCCAAGGCTCAGAACATTTCATGCTTTCGGACGGATGGAAATCGGGCATGTGACTGTATAGCGAAAGTGTGGCGAAGACGGTGCAAAAGGAGGCTAGAAACTGATGTCGTGGACTTTCGGTGCTAGTTGCGTATTTAGCTAAAAGATAAAAGAAACGAGAGACCATGAATCCTTACGGTTCTAATTTATTAATCGTTCGACATTGAAATCGCGAGTACGGTGAAATCGTTCTCTGCGCGGAAGGTTTACCTCAGTAGGCACCCTGTTTGTCTATTCTTTCACTCGATTTCTACCAGTACTTCGAGAAAAAATATGAAACAGCATACCGCGCCGTACAACACGTGTACGTATCTAAAACAAAACTACGCATCGTTATGAATATACTTCATTTTCAGGGGTTGTCTTTCCGAATCGTGTTTTCGCGAAACCTTGGTATTTGTCCGCGATCAGAGACGATTCGCGCGACCGTTTTACTTCTAGGCAAATGGAATTTCTCGTAGGGAATACGCGCAGGAGGCATTTCTCGTTTAACGAGACTGCCGAGAGATGGCCGAACGTTTGCCTCCCGACCGCGCTTGTTATTTCGTTTCGAGATTCGGCAGGACAATCTGATGGCAGAATTGGACATGTAGAAGTTCTGTTATTTATTGAGTGTCACATTATCAACTTGTTTCGAATAAAGACGTTCTGTGGAAAGCTCGAATGATTAGGCATAGTCTGTCGTTCTGGGAGATCTTTCGTTTGAAGATTTACGTTAGAAAATATTCTATAATCTTGTATAATCTCTGTATGCCTGCGCGTTCATCTTCGGCTGTAACGTTAATGTAAATAGTTACTTTATCGCGGTACTCTGTATTTTCTATACATCGTTGTTTTCTACTTGTTATTTCTACTTGTTTATTTTAAATATAAAACTGTATGTTGATGGATTTTTTCCCAGAATGGCGGGCGACAGCCACATATTGTTTCAACCAATCACAGCTGTGACCGCTGTTGGACCTTATCGGTCCCTTGCCTGAAGGCAGGCGATTGTTTGGACCTACCGTCCTAGAGTCGAGGCACATGCTAGCTTCCCGACTTTTCATTCAATTTCATTACAGGACGTAAAATCGATCTACGGTTTTCGAGAATTTTATCGGATACGCTAAGTGTTGTTATTTGCAAGTTTTTAATCGTAATTGTTTCGTACCAAGTATAGCTGGACTCTGATAAATGTAAACTCGTATCGAGATAACGTTTAGGTTGTAAGAAACGGGAGATAAGTGAGAAACGAAGAGAATCGGGAAGTTCTATGGTCCTTGGCTGCATGGACGCGTGGCTGGACCGAGAAACAATATTAATCGTAATCAGTAATGAGTCGCGGGTATATTGTATTAACCGACTCGATCGGTCGAAACGTTGGAACGAGAGAATTATAGAGATTTATACTTAGAATTAATAGCGATCTAATGTACTATAATATCCTAATATACTTAGAATTAAAACGAATATGTACGCAGCATATGTACATTGTACAATGTACATTAATTTTTGTCTCCAGCAACTATTATTTTTGGTAATCCGATATCTTAAAAGCGAAGTTATGTAAAAGAATTATCGCGTTAAGCAGGGTATTAGGTGTATTTATTAACTGTCAAGCTGTATCTTTAATTGTTTACGGTTAAACTTGAATGGATGCCGTCGATACGGTTAGTAGTTAGTTCGATCGTCTCCGATTCTCTTTGGATTTAAGTATTAGGAGATGAAAAAGACTGAAAAGTATATTTGGAATTCTCTCGTTCGACGGTTCGATCGTTCGTAGAATGCTTAGCTGGCTCTGTGTGTATATCGATACATCTGTATTTTACGTTGCGCAAGGACCCTTCATTATCCTGTTCCTTTTTACGCTAATAATGTCTTTCCACTTGGTGATAGCGGATGCACGATTCGCTCGTGGGGGTCGCTTTGCTCGAGGAACCGGTAACGCGGTGGCTCTTTGTCATTCTAATATCTTATTCGACGGCTCGAGGTATCCGGAATTAAGTGCTACCTGTGAAACGATAGTGAATCTTAACTTTTACTTTATCATAGCTGTTCATATATTGCATAAATAATTGTTTCTAGTCTTTGTATTTCTTCTTTTTGTTTTTTCTTTTCTCTTTTAGATAAAATGCGAAGTCATCGACGACACGGGTACGGTGTTTTCCGCCACATATATATTTTTATTAAGAAAATAGTTGATATTATTTCCGCAAACAATCAAAAGTTAGATTGATTTTTGGTGGAATTGATTGCCTTTGCGATATGTTGTTTTGTTTTTTTTTTTTTTATCTCTCATTTAATCTCAATTGTTGTACATGTAGTTGAGAACTCTCGAGAGAACATCGTGGTAAATCGAAATAATAGCACTGTTGTAATTTAATATTTTAGTTTTTCATTTGCAATGTTTGGAAGATAGAGTTTTTCATGCAAGTACTGAATTCGAATTTTAGGTTGCACTTTATTCCTGCGCGGACCGCTCACGGAAATTAGCAGTAGTACTCTACTCTTCTACAGCATTGTTGTTTTCAGCCGACTGGGCCTGAGCAAAACGGGCAATAATGTCCAAGAAAATACAGAAATGGGTGACACCTACACCTGTACCCTCGTTAAAACAGGATGAATAAATAAAAATTGTTTGATAATTCTGTTTAAGCGTTATCACAATTAAGATCATCGTTATTTCACTTGTTCTTCGAGAATTTCTTTATTAAATTGGATGGAGAATTATAAGGAACTCGTCTATTAAACGTGCAAGAATTCAACTCTAGAGGAAAAAGTATCTCCGTGATGCATCGAAGAAAATTAGACGATGATATTAACTTCGTTAACGCTTACTTTTCTTTCCATAATTATTAACCAACAATATTACCTTTTACATTTTTGTGTAGTCTAATACTCCCTTTCAACTAGAAGTTTTACAGAAATATTTGCTGAAATAAAATTGCACAGTACGAAGAGAATGGTATCGCCATGTTTTACTTTTTTTTTTTTGATATTCGTATAATTTTACACCGTAATTATCATAATTCAACTAATAATTGTCGAGTGGCTAGTTTTTTAAATAAATAATAATACCGAATGCTATGGCACCACCTAGCGGCGCTATGTAAGAACTATTTCACGACAAGCTTGGGCGGTTCGCCGAGAGATGGTGCCACGTTTCCGGGCGATCTTTTCTCTCATTCTATATACGAGAGTGGGGGAAGCGGCCATGTTGCGTTCGAGAAACCACCTGCGAGCGACAGTTGTACAACGTTCTCGGAAAATGAACGCGTTGAACGAGAAGCCGCCTTCGAGCGGCAGTTTTGTAACGTTCTCGGCACGTGGACGTGTTCTCACGTCTGTAATAGAGGTCAACACACAATAGAATTTCTCCTCGTTGCTGTTATAACCTAAATGTCTACACTTCTCTGATGCCTTCTCCATTTCTGGAACAGTAGAACAAATTTAATATCAGTCAATTATTAGTGTACGCCCCCGTCTGCATCCCCTCGGGTCACTTTTTCGAGCTTTCCGACAGAACTACAAGGTGAATATATTACGCAGCATGCCTTCGGTCGGTAACATTTTCATTTGCGTGTATGTTTGTTAGTTCCAGAACCTGCCGTAATTATTGAGGCTCTGCGATAGCGCCCCTCCCCAACGGGAGAGAAAGAGCGAGCGAGCGAGCGAGCCGTTACGGTGCTCTCTCCTCTCTCGACTGGCAGTCGACCGTCGACGTTCGTAAATGGCGATGTACCGATGTCGAATGCTCGTAGCGAATTGGTGAATCGTCGTACGTGATGACGGCTCGTCACTGAACCCCGGACGGCGATGGGCACGCAAAAGCCGGAAGAATGGGCGAATTTGCTGATCACACGTTTCGAGGAACAGGTACATTCTAACCATCGCTCGATCCGCAAATCTGTTTAGTTTTCTTTCTCGCTTGTCCGCCTTCCCTCTCTGTGACCATCTCCCTCTCTTTCTTACGTACCCTTTTCCGGTGCTTTCTCTCGCTCCTTCTCGCACTCTTCCTCTATTTCTCCTCCTTTATCTTCATACACTTTTCGAGCCTCTCCTCTTTTCTTTCTTGCCACTTCTTGCTTTATCCTTCCTCCTGTGTTTTCTGTGTTTTCTTGTTAATCTCACCGTATCCCGTATCCCGTTCGTTTATCGCGGAACGTGCAATGGAAAAACTAGCGTTAACATTCGAACGACTGGTGTTCCATTCACACTCGGAAAGGCCGCCGGTGATTATTTTCATCGCTTACATAAAGTCGAATTAAAGTCAAATTTTGCGCTATCGACGTAATCGTTCGTTAGGATTGCACAGCAAGTGTAAACTTAGGTTTCGATGAGTGAAGCATTTCGCGAGTGACGAGTGCCGAGACCGTAATAAACACACGACTTTGACAGCCGTCAGATTTTTCGAATGTTACATTTCGGTAGTATTCTTTCGCTTGACGTTTGTTAATTCCGATCTTCTCGGGCAAACTCGAGAAGATTAAACGATCGTCGCGAAACAACCGTTTGTAGTTTAATTAGACACGTAACGATGAAAGAGATTTTTAGAAATGTTTTCGTTGTTTGTATTATATAAATTTGTACCTGTCTCTTTTGTTTGTTAGTTTCACCGGTTTCGAATTTTTTTAGCGTCGCGATAAACGCGAAATGGATTTTTAACGATGTAGCGATGTATCTTGTACAGCAAAGTTCTACTTAATTCGAAAAATGTAATCAATTAATTATTATTATTCTGTTTGGTGTTTAGTCATTAATCGTTGCCACTGTTGTCCCCGTGAGCGTGTCACGCCGTCATTCGTTTGTTTCGTTGATTGATTCGTTCATTCATGGGAAGATGCTTTCTAGTGATCTCCTCCCTCTACATGCCGTGGACTCCACGGTTTGACCTTCGCCCCTTCTCCCTTTCCTCTCTACAGCTATTCGCTTAAGGTGTATTGTACAAGGTGTTCCAAAATGTACGTATCATTTGAACACGTTGTTGCGAATCTTATTTACTTTTCGATTCAATCATTTGTACGGAAACATTTCTTCTGCTCTAGAAAAATATCGAGAAATATTCCTTTCGTTTGATCAAAATGAAAGCTACGACATCTCATAGCGAATGATAGAAATAAAATCTGTGACATTTATTTATTTATACCGTCGAATACAATTATAATTTGTTATTAAAGTAGATCGTCAAGATCGATTCGGGAGGTGATTTGAAACAACTTTTTCCTTAGCGAAAATGTTGTACAAGGCTTCGTAAAGGAGATATTAACGAAATACCCCGACCAATCAGAGCGCGCGTTTACCGTTGAAGCGGTCGCGGTAGCGAAGGCTACGCGCTGAGCGGCCGCGCTCATACGCGAACAAACAGCGATGGGTGAAACCAGGGCCGACGCAAGGCAGGTTCAGCGCGTTCACCGGAACCTGGCACCGCGGTCTACGAAAATTACCCAATTAAAAGGCACCGATTTTGATTAACTTTTTACAGAATGATGATACCATTAACAGATGCAAGACATTTTTTTAGTAGCGATGATTCAGTTTAAAGGAGTGACAAAAATCATCTAAGTACGATTATTTAATATTTATCTTATAAAAAATATATAATATATAACAACGTTTGTAAATAAATAATTCCTCGTAAAATTTAAGTGTAGGATTTGAATGTGAATTCAGGCCCCGCGAAAGGTCACGCCGGCCCTGGTTTTTATCCTCTCTGACGTCGAGTCACTTGTTCGCGGCCGCTCAGCGCGTAGCCATCGCTACCGCGGCCGCTCCACCAGTATCCTCGCGCTCTGATTGGTCAGTGTTTTCTCTTAATATCTCCTTCAATAACCCTCGGACAACATTTTCGCTAAGGAAAAAGTTGTTTCAAATCACCTCCCGAACCACCCCTTTCAAGGTGTGGCAACATTTTTGAGACACCCTCTATATCCATGTAATGTCGCTTCCGTCGTGTCGCGGATACGTGAATGAAAATTGCATTCGCTTCGCGCACGGCTTAACGAGGAATTCAAATCTATAGTAAACTTCGGTGCGCTTAAATTACACGATGTTTTTTTTTAAAGTAAATGGCTCGTTTATAATAATATACGTAATAGATCTTTCTAATTGCATTGAGATTTAACGATAAAAATAGTTGTACGAATTTAAAAATATTTTTCTAATCCTGTTGTGATTCCAAAAATTTCGAAATGAAAACATGTTTTGCAAAAGTGGTTGTATTTTACATTTATGTTTCGTATATTTGATTGAAAAATTGTTCTTAGTACATCCACTTTTCGTTGTAATAATTTTGGATAGAAAGATCATTAGGTAATGAAAATTTAATAATTTTTTTTTTATATATAAAATATCTAAATAATGAATTTTTTTTTTTTTATATGTAGTTGCCGTGTCACAGTGGCCCTCAAACCAGCCACTCTCGTATGAATGAAGAAAGAAACAAAAAATGCTTGATACAAATTTCTCGTTACCGTTTTTCCCTTGTAATATCCAGTCTCACTAAGATACTCCAAAGTGTTAATGAAATGGTACCATGTATCGGGGGTCAACGCATATTTCATAGCACAGACCAAGATCGGCATTCCTATGAATCTATCGTTATTGTTTTGGACACTTTGGAAAAGTGTCTTGCGAATCAACCAAAAGACACGGCTAAATTTGACGAGACTATGAACGTAAAGTTTCTGCTTAGAGAGATATGCCAATTCATAGGTAATGAGAATTTAAATACGGTTAACAAAATATTTTATCGATACGATATTAAATTTTGTTGCGAGGAATTATATGTATAAATAACCGAATATTATTTTCAGATGTACCAAACGATAGTCTTCAAAATGCTCATTTAAAAAATTTGGCGAGCAAAGTATTGTTTGCTTTGAGCTTGAACTTCTTCAATGCTGTATTCAACAGAATATCGGCTACACTCCAGGAACTAGCAAAATGTGGCGACGAGAATGCCAATTACAGCGACATCGAATTAATTCAGCACATTAACGTGGATGTTTACAGGCTAACAAAACTTTTAACTGGTACGTTTACTATTTTTTTTAGAGGTGTATAAAAATCAATTTGTATCATCCTTTAGTATAACAGATATACAAATGTTTTGTTTTCAAGAAGATACATAACGTGTCGTTTAATACTATACTTGTTGTTATTGTAGAAACGATCCAAAAATTTAAACAGCTCAAAAAATCAGCGCACATAGTTCTTATGAATTCCTTGGAAAAAGCAATTTGGAATTGGATGGATACTTATCCGCATGAATTTGCCGATCTTCATAAAAAGCCTAACGAAGATCTTGGAAAAGCATGCGAAGAATTATTCGATATTCTCGATACGTTTGCAGACAATAAAAAGGGAAGAGCTGCAGCTGTTTGGCCTTTACAAATTATGCTTCTTATACTTTCGCCAAAAGTTTTGGAGGAAATAGTGAATGCTGATTCTGGTGCTCCTTGTTCGCCGAAACATTCAAAGAAAAAACAATTTATCGACAGCGTTAAACGAGGTTTAGGAATGCATGGTAGTTCTAGTAAACAACTAGTAGAAGCTGCAGCGGTCACTTGCATTAAACTTTGTAAAGCATCAACTTATATAAATAATCGGGACTCGAACAACGTTATCTTCACGCTTGTTCAACACGTAATGAATGATTTGATGGCACTATTTTTTAATCCAGTCAAACTATTTTCTCGTGGTCAGAATTACGTTGCCCAAGACATCGACCTAATGATAGACTGTTTTGTTAGCTGTTTTCGTATTAAACCTCACAACAACGAAGTACTTACAGTTTGCTTGAACTTGAGTTTTCCATCGACATACCAATTCGTCTTGGTTAGCTCATTATACAAGTAAGCGGAACATTACGTTGTAACTATACATACATACGAAAATAGTATTACACTCTATGTAAATTAAATGTTTATTTTTATTTTAGAATTGTAACTCAACCAAGACTGCAATGGTGGCCTCAAATAGATCTTCTGTATTCACGTAGTACAGAACTTAGAAATATGTTTACTGATGTTTTAAATAAAGTCACACAGAGTTACATATCACACACACCGTTGCGAATGATTCACAGTTTAACCCTCAAAGGTAAAGAACAGAATAAATACAGGGATCGCGGAGAAGAAATATCGAGTTATAGAAATTTACTCTTGTGGATGGTGAAACTCATTCATGCCGATCCTATGTTACTACTGTATGTAAGTATCCCGTATAGACGCCATGGTTATAGCTTGTAGAACGAATATCGTATATAAACTATACGCTTACAAATTTTTATTTTATTTTACAGAATGAAGGAAAAGCTGGTCATGAAATACAGAGCTCTACGTTGCAATTAATTAAAGGTTTAGTTTCCTTAATTCATCAACCAACAATGCCAGACATAGCATACGAAGCAATGGAAGCATTATTAGTATTGCATCATCCAGATAAAATAAAAACATGGAATCCAGAAGCGCCGATTCATACTTTTTGGGATGTCAGTTCCCAAGTTCTCTTCTCGATTTCTGAAAAATTGATTCAACATCAAATTGTTAATTATACTTGTATATTAAAATGGATTAGAGAAATACTGATTTGTAGAAATGCTTTCCTGGCGCAACATAAAGATTACGCTAACGTGGGTAGCCAGATTGCTATTTGTAAGCAGGCACACATTACACTAGAGGTTTGTTTGTATTTTCATAAGTACAATAAACTACTAATTCATGTAATAGTTCAAAGATTAAGTAGATTTATAATATTTGTTTTTTTCAGGTTGTGTTGTTCATGTACTTGTGGAGTATAAATATGGAAGCGGTTTTAGTATCAATGTCTTGTTTTACATTGCTATGCAAAGAAGCGGAAGTGCGTTGCGGTAGCGATGATGTAGCAGTAACTTGTTTACTTCCCAACTATCATTTATACCTTGAATTGGCGCAACCTTCTACTGTGTTAATCACTGGTGAGTTAGAATTTATAAAACATCAACATTATCTTTATATTTGAATATGAAATATAATATTTTTTTACATTAGAAAATAGGAATTCGAATCGAGAAACGACTACTAAATTGTATATTGTTTTGTAAGATTAATTTTAAATAGTATACTTTTAATGTCGAGTATAATATTACAACGATATATTAAACATACATGCAACGTAAAAATAATTTTTATTTTGTTATTTTTAAATTACACGTGTAATTTATAATGTATTTTCAAGAATTTATAAATAATTTTTAATGAAGTCACCAAGTATAGCTAAAAACCAGATTGTTAGTACTTCTTATTGAAAAGTTTATTAAATTTGGGTCAAAAGACGACCGAAAAAATATTTGTTTAAATCCATTTCGATTCGGGTCTCTAGCGAAGATATTTTTACTTGAATTCAAACATTCATTCATGAATTTTTGAATTCACTTTGTATTTTGATTAGTATAATCCTTATATGGCTGCAGTAGAGTATTAAAGACCTTGTTACCATAACAGCCAGCGGGGAAAGTAAGATATGTTATCACGATCATAATCATGGTAAGTGTTCAAAATTTCTATACATTATAGAATTAACGCTATATTACTTTCTTGTCATTATTTTAATCGTAATATTTTGCGTATAGTTGCTTTATGAGTAGTATTAATAATGATAATTATACATTGAACGAGTATATCGTGTACGTTTTAGGGCGCGCTGCTTTACAAAAAAGAATTATGGCCTTATTGAGGAAGATAGAGCATTGTGTAAACGGTGTACAGCCTGTATGTATATCGATCACTCATGTTTCATATCTTTATTAACTAGTACAATTCGTAGTAATAATAATAGCGATGAGTTCTCCTGTTTATTACGTATTTATCATAGTTCACATCGAAGCATTATTTTTGCGTTGTAAATATTATAATGTAATTAATTATTGCACACAAGTAATATTTTACAATCAAACATCGAAAGATAAAAATCGATTATAAATGTAAGATACGCTTTATTGCATATTTAGGCATGGGAAGAAACATTTAAAAATTGGGAAGTGACTTCTCGACAGTTAGTAAGTTATCCTAAATCTAAGACGGAAGATGGTCAGATGGAATTTTATCGAAGCACAGGAAAGCGTAGAGCATCGCATCAAAATTCCGAACATGAATTAGAGGAGCAAATTAACGAGTGGGCAAACATGACAGGATTTCTCTGTGCTCTGGGTGGCGTATGTTTGCAAAAACGTTATCCGAATAGACCATTATCAGGCATGCCTTCGAACCCAGAATCAAAGAAAAGTTCGACGAAACAGCAGGAGCCTACATCTTGTTTGTCAAAGCCAAGCCAAGAAGTACAATGTACGCAGTTTGTTTTCAATTTATTGCGCTTACTAATCTGTAACAATGAAAAATTTGGAAATCAAATTCAACAACATGTTAAAGAATTGGTAGGCCACGAAATGAGCCCAGCGTTGTATCCGATACTCTTCGATCAGATCAAAAGCATAGTCGAAAAATTCTTTAATCAAGAAGGACAGGTTATAGTAATGGATGGCAATACTCAATTTATCGAGCATATTATATTTATAATGAAAAATATATTGAATTCAAAGTCGGATCAACCTTCTGAATACCTTGGAATGACCAGTATAGAAGGGATGATGTTAGCGATCGTTAGATATGTTAGACATTTGGACATGACTGTACATTCTATACATATTAAAACAAAATTATGCCAACTCGTCGAAACGATGATGAAAAGGCGTGACGATTTAGCGTTTCGACAAGAAATGAAGTTCAGGAATAAACTTGTGGAATATTTAACCGACTGGGTGATGGGTGCCACTCACCAGATTACTCCATCGACTAGTGGAGACTTAATTGTTTACACTCGGTAAACAATTTTTCTATGAGATACGTTTATGTTGAATTACTTTGAATAATTAAAAAATTATTATTACTAGTGTTTCTTTGAATATTCAATATTAATTTTTTGAATGTTTCTATTTTACTTTCTAGGGATTTAGATCAAGCTTGTATGGAAGCAGTCGGAGCATTATTACGAGGTCTTCCTCTTCAACCCGAAGAGTCTGATCGTGGCGATTTAATGGAAGCAAAATCTGAATTATTTTTAAAATATTTTACTCTTTTCATGAATTTATTAAACGATTGCAATGAAGCAGCTGCCGAAGAAAAAGAGCTCGTATCTCAGCAACCGTGTTTAACTAGCGGTAAATTATCTACATTGCGCAATGCTACCATACAAGCTATGAGTAATCTGCTTAGTGCAAACATTGACAGTGGCTTGATGCATTCGTTAAGTAAGTAAAAGTCTTTAGTCTTGCATGTGAATGTAACTTGATACTTTTTTTTTTCTTTTATTTGTAGCTTCTAAATCCCTTATGATTTACAGGTTTAGGCTATAATCCAGATTTACAAACACGAGCAGCATTCATGGAAGTTCTCACTAAAATTCTTCAGCAAGGAACAGAATTTGATACACTAGCGGAAACAGTATTAGCTGATAGATTCGAGCAATTGGTTCAACTCGTTACAATGATTAGCGACAAAGGGGAATTACCTATTGCAATGGCTTTAGCCAATGTTGTGACAACGAATCAAATGGACGAATTGGCACGAGTTTTTGTAACATTGTTCGATGCGAAACACTTACTATCGCCTCTTTTATGGAATATGTTTTATCGCGAGGTCGAAGTGTCCGATTGTATGCAAACACTATTCCGAGGAAACAGTCTTGGAAGCAAAATTATGGCATTCTGTTTTAAAATTTATGGTGCAAGTTATTTACAAAATCTGCTCGAACCTTTAATTACGCCTTTATTGGATGATCCTACGACTGGTTTCGAAGTCGATAGTGCAAGGATAGATACCAATGAAAATATAGAACAAAACGGACGCAATTTAATAGCATTGACTCAAAAAGTATTCGATGCTATAGTATCGTCAGCTGATCGGTATGTTGATGAAAAATGTTTAAATAATTTATAATAAAGTTTATATTCGCAATATCTCTTTTTCTTTGTACTTGTAAACAGATTCATTTTGTTATGTAGGTTAATTCTATTTTTCAGATTTCCACCACAATTGCGGTCAATGTGCCATTGTTTATATCAAGTACTCAGTAAAAGATTTCCACAATGTCCACAAAATAATATCGGAGCCGTAGGAACTGTAATATTTTTGCGATTCATCAATCCAGCTATTGTTTCACCCCAAGAGATGGGTATCGTGAATGAATCTGTACCTCCTCAAGTGAAAAGAGGGCTAATGCTTATGTCTAAAATACTTCAAAATATCGCAAATCACGTGGAATTTAGTAAAGAGCAGCACATGTTACCCTTCAATGATTTTTTACGGGCACACTTTGAAATTGGAAGAAGATTTTTCATACAGATAGCATCGGATTGCGAAACAGTGGATCAGGCCAGTCATCCGATGTCATTTGTGTCGGATGCTAACGTTTTAGCATTACATAGATTGCTTTGGAACCATCAAGAACGAATCGGTGACTATCTTAGCAGTAGTAGAGACCATAAGGCAGTAGGTAGAAGACCTTTTGATAAAATGGCCACATTATTGGCGTACCTTGGGCCTCCAGAACACAAACCAGTAGATTCGCATTTACTATTTTCTTCATCCTATGCTCCATGGTCAAGCATCGATATGTCTTCAACTAATTTCGAAGAAATTATGGTGAAACATAATATGCACGAAAAAGAAGAATTCAAGAGTATCAAGAATTTAAATATTTTCTACCAAGCAGGCACTAGCAAACAAGGATATCCAGTGTTTTATTATATTGCCAGACGTTATAAGATCGACGACACGAATGGTGATTTGTTGATGTATCATGTTATTCTCACTCTAAAACCGTTTTGTCATTCCCCGTTTGAATTAGTTGTCGATTTTACCCATATGTGTTCAGAGAATCGATTTAGGACAGAATTTCTACAGAAATGGTTTTACGTATTACCAGAAGTTGCTTACGAAAAGATTCATGCTGCATACATTTACAATTGCAACAGTTGGGTAAGAGAATATACAAAGTTTCACGATAGAATCTTGGCACCATTGAAAAATAACAAAAAAGTAGTCTTCCTCGATGGGCCAGGCCGTTTAAACGACGTAATTGACGTTGACCAACAAAAATTGCCTGGCGCTACACTTTCTCTCGACGAAGATTTAAAGGTGTTTAACAGTGCTCTGAAACTGTCTCACAAAGAAACTAAGGTATCCGTGAAAGTTGGACCAACTGCTATACAAATTACCTCAGCGGAGAGATGCAAAGTACTGTCGCATTCGGTTTTTTTAAATGACGTTTATTACGCATCGGAAATAGAAAAAGTTTGTTTACTAGATGACAATCAATTCACTTTGACCATTTCTAACGAAACTGGCCCGCTGTCTTTTATTCATAACGATCGTGATAATATCGTTCAAGCTATAATTCACATAAGAAATCGATGGGTATTATCCCAGCCAGAATCTGTGTCTGTTCATCCAAAGATTAGACCTAAACACGTACCTGGCACGTTATTGAACATGGCATTATTGAATCTTGGTAGTTCGGATCCAAATTTAAGAACAGCAGCGTATAATCAACTATGCGCATTAACTGCCACTTTTGATTTGAAAATTGAAGGGCAACTCCTGGAAACATCTGGACTTTGCATACCTTCGAATAATACGATATTCATTAAACACCTAAGCGAAACTTTAGCTGCGAAGGATCCTCACCTTACGCTCGAGTTTCTAGAGGAATGTATACAAGGGTTCAGATTGTCGAGTATCGAATTGAAACACCTCTGTTTAGAATATATGACTCCGTGGTTAAATAATCTCGTTCGATTCTATAAACCTAACGATGGAGGAGGTAACCGTCAGAAGCAAGTAACAAAGATTTTAGAGAAATTAATTACGTTAACTATCGAGGAGGTGGAAATGTACCCAAGTATACAAGCCAAGATATGGAGCACAATTGGAAGATTGCCGGATTTGATAGATACAGTTTTGGATAATTTCATTCAGCGTAGCGTCAGCTTTGGGCTCGGTTCCCCAACGGTTGAAATAATGGCTGATACAGCTGTAGCGTTGGCTTCTGGAAATGTTCAGTTAGTGGCAAAGAAAGTAATAGGAAGACTTTGTCGAGTTTTGCAACATACGAGATGGGATGATATAGCTATTCTAGCAAGATATTTACTGATGTTGTCCTTTAATAATTGTTTGGACGTAGGAAAACATCTACCTTATTTATTTCACACGGTAACGTTTCTCGTTTGCTCCGGAAGTCTGAGTATGCGAGCATCCACCCATGGTTTGGTTATCAATAGCATTCACTCGCTTTGCACTTGTAGTTCCCCTTCGTTTTCAGAAGATACTTACCGAATATTGCGAATGAGTCTGGATGAATTTTCTCTACCAAAATTTTATTTACTTTTTGGTATTAGTAAAGTAAAGTCTGCTGCGGGTACAGCATTTAGATCTAGTTATAGACATTCGAACGAGAAATGGTTTAGTAACGAGCGTAGCGTTACCGGAACGCACGACAAAGAAAGACTCTCGTTAACCAGTTTGGAAATCATAACGGATGCTCTCCTTGAAATTATGGAGGCTTGTATGCGAGACATTCCGCAATGCGATTGGTTGAAAACTTGGACGTCTTTGGCGAAAAATTTCGCTTTTTGCTTTAACCCAGCTCTTCAGCCAAGAGCTTTGATCGTTTTCGGTTGTATCAGTAAAAGTATAACCGATCAAGATATGAAACAGTTGTTAAAGATATTGGTGAAAGCGCTTGAGAGTTTTAACGATATTACATTACTCGAAGCAATTATTATGTGCCTCACTCGACTACAACCATTACTTAGACCCGTAAGTTACATTCCGTCGTGATATAATATATTTTTAAGCAATCCTAAATTTACTGGATTTGTGTTCCTTATTATATTTTGAAGGAATCTCCCATACATCGATATTTATTTTGGGTCGCAACATCTGTCCTTCAATTGGATGAAGCATCTTTGTATGCATGTGGTTTAGCTCTTCTCGAGCAGAATTTGCATACTTTAGATTCCCAAGGAACTTTTGATGATAAGGTAAAAATTCACACATTTTCATCTTGTATTATAATTACATTCAATGCGTTTCAGTACTTTTACAATGAATTATAATGTTGTTTTAGACTTTAGAAAATGTTATGATATCGACACGTGAGCCTTTAGAATGGCACTTCAAACAATTGGATCAAGCTGTAGGACTCTCGTTCAAATCCAATTTTCATTTTGCATTGGTTGGACACCTTTTAAAAGGATACAGGCATCCCACGCCAACCACTGTAACAAGAACAGCTAGAGTACTCACTATGTTGTTAGGCATCACGGCTAAACCATCTAGGAGAGACAAATTTGAAGTAACGCCAGAAAGCGTAGCTTACTTATCTGGTAAGTTTTCATTAATCTCCTTGTCTGAATGAAAATTAATAATTGTTATATTTATATACAATTAGCATTGGTATCCGTATCCGAAGAAGTGCGAAGTAGATGTCATATTAGGCATTCGGTTGCCAAAAATACAGAATCTGGTAGTACAGACTGTCTTGATAATTTGCTTCCACACAATACAGTGAGTGAATTTTATATTGGTTATGATTACTCTTAAAATGTTAAACGATTCCAAGCTTCACGCGAATCCATAGAGTTTTTTTTATAAGCTTTATAAAATAATATTTTAAATATAAAAAAATATTTTTACAAAAGTTATTTGGTTTAAATGGACAAATTATAGGGTGTAAATATATTGTAAGTGAAGTGGGGAGGAAGATTAGAAAAACAAATCAATTTTTTTTAAATGAATTCATTTAGTTATAATACAAGGTTGTAATGAATTGTATATTATTATACAGGATACAGCCAATGCAACATCTAGCAATCCGACTAATCGTCGACAAAAATCGTGGGATCTACTCGATCAATCTGCGCTTACTCAAGCTAGACAGCAGAAACAGTATTCAACGCATCAGGTAAATTTTATTTTCATCATTTCTAGTGATCATATCATTTGTTTTTATTTTGGAGACACTTTATTATGGACCTGATTGATTATATAGATAGAGACACATAAGGTGTCATTCCAACAGAATATTTGTATTGAAATTTTTCATATATCCTTAAGTTTCGAATATAGCAATATCGGTCACTTTACGTGAATGCACGTACTATTACAAATCTTGACTCCTCGTAACAACCGAGTTACAAAACTAAATATATATTTTATTATTTTCACTGTCCTTCTTTAAAAATATTCGAATAAAAGACGTAAATAAGCAAGAACTGCTCTTAGGCATATGCAAGCAGGGCTCTTATCATGGACTCCAAGTTTCAACAAACACACACATACACACATTTGCCGAAGCTCTTAAGAATGTGGGACTTGTCGAGATCATGGGATTCTTTATGTACGCAGGCCCTATTCAAGCAATTAAGAAAGAAAAACAGGCAGTAAATTTATATTTACTTTAAAGTTGTAAAGTAAACAGAATGTTTATTACCGTAGTACTCACTACGGAAAGACTAGAAGTGAAAATGTGAATTTTAACAACTTGTATATCTCTACTCCTACGTCTAGATGAATTATTTAATTAAAATTTTTAATTGAATGGAATTAAAGGTCAATATTTTTAGCTAATAGAAGTTGAACAATAGTTAACAGCATTCGATAGATACAATTATTCAAGTGATACCACAAAGAAAGTATTTATTTGTAAAACGGAAGATCTGTGCTTCTTACATACTTACTAAATTCTGATCATTTTTTAATGAATTGAGAAAGCATCTTTTCACTTTTGGTCTCCTCCTTGTTAGTATCTTTTATGTATTTGTCACGGGTCCTGGGTTTGTTAAGGGCGCTCCTGTAAAGAAGTAATTCCTGCCGAGCGTGTCCTCAGGCTATGTGTTACTTACATTCTTTAAATTTTATAGACTATTTTAATAGTCATTCGATAATTACCGTTTGTTGTCGTTATAAGAAAGAATTGAATTGAAAATATTGCGAAGAGAACTTGCAGGTCGCGATTAAGTTATACTCTCAAAGGATTGCGGGCGACAAAGAATCAATTCTCTTACAGTTGTACCGGGGTTTTGGTTGATCCTGTACAGTAATTCATTTGTCGTTGTATTTATCTGTTTAGTATATTTTTATTTGTTTCGTGTTATTTTCTATAACGGTATCAATTATTCATTCTTCTATATCGTCTTCTTTCCCCTTATTAGTTAAAACCCTTTCTCTCTTACGTTTTTCAAAACATACTTCAAATGTCATTGGTATTTCAAGAGGAAAGAAATAAAAAACACTTGTTTTATATTTTGAATATAGTTCTAAAGATGAAAGATCGATTTTACATTGAATAATATTACTTGTTGTATTGTGTTCTTGTATGTCACCTCTGTTTACTCTATCGATGTCTATGCTCACATCTGCCTATATCTACCTTGCCTGTGCCTGGATTGTGTAATACACAATGTAACTTGTCACTTATATGTGTCATACCCCATCAATTTGTCCAAAAAATGACGATGTACGCGTCATTAACAAGACTGGACGGATTTTATTTAAAACGCAGCGATCTTTTTCTGTACCAACTGCAAAGGAAACGAAAACAACCGAAGAAACAGAACCAAAGGTATATTATGTCATCTTTTATATTCCCCTTTTTATATTCTATTTACATGTAAATGCTTAAAGTCCTTTTCTACTCTATGTTACAATGTTTTTTTCATTTTATGTTAGCATGCATTTATGTCACAAGATTGTCAATATATTTATCGATGCTTAATTTTTTCAGGTTTATGCAATGAAATCGAATAGATATTGCATTATATATTTACCGCTTAATTTTTTTTTTTTTTTTGCTAACTGTCTCAAAGCATTTATTAATTTGAACCGTGACTACAAAAATTATACAGACTAAAGTTTTTGTAATTTATACAGAATCGAAGTGCCAGAGTAAGCGTGAGCAACGAAAACAATGTATTACTCGATCCGGAAGTACTGACAGACTTTTCAACTCAAACTTTAGTTTTAACTGTTTTGGTCACTTTGGTGAAAAATTCATCTGACGAAAATGAACAACGGATTCTTTACGAATACCTCGCGGAAGCCTCTGTTGTGTTTCCAAAGGTGTTTCCAGTGATGTAAGTATTTTTTTTTTTATTCTATAAAAATTTTCTCAGAACATACACATATACATATATGTATTAACTCTTTGAGAGATACTATTAAAAAGAAAAATATAACTTATAAAGTAAAATATTAAAATATAGCGAGTAATATTACAATGAAGTCACCATAAATATTATTTAATATTATTTTAATAGTTATAAACTTATTTGCAGTCATAATTTGCTCGACGCAAAAATCAATAGCGTTTTATGCTCCTGTCATGATCAAGGTATACTAAACTCGGTACAAGCAATTATACAGAATATGATATCATCCGAGGATACAAGTCAACAACAATTACACTATTTACAAAGCTGTGGGTTTGGAGGATTATGGAGGTTTGCAGGTCCTTACACAAACGTGAGTAAATATGTATTGATAATTCATGAAAAAATATACTTAATGTTCTTACAGTTGTCAGAAATGCAATTAAAATGATAATACATGATATTTTGTAGTCCAATTGCACAGCTAAAAGTGCGCAGTTGTTTGTTAATTGCTTGGAAGCAATGATCAAGACATGTCTACCAGTTGATGAAACAGAAGGATCTAGCAGTAATGAAACCTCAATGGAAAAAAGTAAACGAATGGAAAGTCATCAGTCCGACGTAACATCAAAAAGTAAAACTTCCGTTTATTGGACCGATCGCACAAGCGCGCATAATTCTTCAGACCCAACTGATGAAACCTGTCGAAGTAGTACGTCTTTTATTCATAGAGAGTGAGTAAATAATTTCTAATCCAATCGTAGATTAATTTGATTTAATATTCTAGACATCATAATTATTCAATAGAAGAGAATAGCTTTGAGATATTTTTTAACATCATGAAAGTAATAAACGAACGATACTGATAATTAAAATAATTTCAGCCACGTTATTGATCGCAGAGGAGATATTTCGCTAGATCCTATCAACCAAGGAGAAAATAGTAGTAGTAGTTCACAAGCTTAGCGATTGGCATGTGAATCTAAGAAACAGTGCAGTAAAAATGGGAGAAAAGGACAAGTTGGTCGGAAAGTGCAACAACAATTGAGGTATGTTGAACAGAAACTTCTTTACCGATAGAAATAATGCAGTAAATTATATAGTAACTATTATTTTTTCAAAAAAAAAAAAAAAATAAATATAATTTCACTATGTACTATGCGATGAATTATTACTTCATAACGAAATTGGATACTTTTACTTTTGAAAAATATATTTTGTTCGTATTTAGAAATCCTTTTCTATAAGTTTTTTATTTTGTACTATACAAATACGTTGTATTATTACATTCGTTTTCCTGTCAAGTGGCGATTCTGATTAAATATTTTTGTATATTTTGATCGAAGGAACGCAAACATTTTGACTCCATGTTATTGCTGCAACATGTTGAATCAGTTTAATTCAATGCCGTCCACCTCACCTTAACGAATCCACTAGAACGGAATTCAACACGCTCTACTCGTTGATACTCTTTTTCTTTTATTCATTAGCGGTATACATCGGCAACTCTGCATTACTTTTAAATTTGCATCTACCTGATGACTAATTATAAATTTGTAATTATAAAGAAAGAAAGAACAAAACGAGCCATTCAATGGCTTCTATTGCGATAATGTTATCCTGCACAAACTATGATTCTTAAATATGGAATTGTAAAATAATTTTGTTAGTTAATATAGTTCGTAGTTTCATTAGAGAAACAAGGTGTTCATCCAAATTTGTCTAACCCTTTAGAGTTAAATATTTTTATATCATAGAAAAATCTGTTTCTATTTCTAAATAGATTTAAAATAGTCTCTCGTTTTTAGAGTAAAATTATTCTAAACGTGCATAGTTTATCGGAGAAGTTTAATTCCATGTACAGCTATAAAGGGTTAAATGAGTTTACTTTTTTTTAAATGTATAATAGGAAGAAACGATATTTTACGACAGACACTAAGTGTTACTTAAATTTGATTATAATAAGAAGAGAGAGAAAAAAAATAAAACAACATAGTTGTTACGTTATAGTACAAGAAACATTCGATTGAAAACGACACATGTTTAATGGAAATTTACTACATACTGTGGCAAGTAAGTTGTATAGATACGACGATGAGTGTTTAAGATACCTACGTAAATAGTTACAGAAGTTTTCTATGTGTATAGGGATGTATTAGGTGAAAAGGAATATATTCGTAAAAAGAATTACCAATATTATTACAAGGAAAATACAATTTGTCTCAAATAGACTCGAAACTTAGTGTAAAACCCCTAGAATAATATTAAAAGTACCCATAAGTAATGTCGTTAAAATTTGAAGCAGGAGAAAAACGCATTATTTATGGGTAGCTCTGATATACATATACAGCACACACACAAAATTCAGTGTCATTTGACTCTGGAAGAATCTAGGAGAGGACGCGATTTCAAACCGGAAGCCTCGGTTACCGTCAACCATGAAGAATCCGGCCCATGAAAGCGTCAAAAATATCATTTTTCGCTCGTAGGAATTTCAGTTCTCTCACTCTCCTTCCTTCTCAAGAGGAAAGACTTTACATAGATAATCGTTGACCTAAGTCATGTTTAGCATCATCGACTCGTTACGTTCGCATAGTGCCTTGAAAGATGTTCACGAGTAAGGCCCGATGACGAGCATCTTTCGAGGTTTGGTATAATTTATGTTCCAGGAAGCGAGCTTTCGTTACTCGGATCGGGGCTGACCCTCACGTTCGTGGCTTCTCGACGGCTTGCAGAAGACGGGAATGGAAGTGAGTGAGAGAGAATGAAAATGCGCGAGATATTTGACAACGGTATACACCGATTCATTTCGCTCGAGGACAAATGGTTTAGCTTACGTTAATCCTTTCTCGTTCTCGCGTGATGGAGGTATCCGATACTTGTATGCGTGGCTGCGCGACGTACTTCGGTGTGCAGAATCATTACGCTACTACCGACAAATTGTATCGTACAAATCTTCCATAAGACCTAACGTGTGGTGCGATCAACGACAGAATCGAATTCGAAGACTTGCCACCAATTTGCCCTGTTGCGGAGAACTCTGCCCCCTCCTTACTGCCGTGGCTGATGATGTGGACGCTGAACGAGAATATCGCATTTAGATTTATTTTTATGAAATTTATTTAACGAAATGGACCTTGTATATCGAACTTGGCGATATTCGTAAGCGGTAGTAATAACAACGGCGATGTTAACGACAAGTATTATTTTATTTTTGAGAATCGGAAGCGTGAAATGTTTGGAATACTTCCCTTTGCGTCGCTTCGCCGGAGACTTTTGTATCTGTAAGCTTGTCTCTGCTTTTTTCTCTCTTACTGTTTTATGGCATAATCTCTTCAAAATTAGGCATTATTTTGTTCATTGATCTTATAAACTTAAATTAAATAAATGAATGTTATGGCTCCGTCACTCGGGCCGAATGTCGCAACTCGTTACAAAAGAATTACTCTTTGTTAGGTATTAAGATTATATACAACGTACTCTGCTGTCCAAAAATGAACGCGAGTCTATGCATAGGCGCTGTCGAATTTTCTCCTTGTGTCGCGTTAGATGTATTTACTTTGGCGGATGCGAGACAAACGAATGTAACCTTTGATTTCTCGTTAGCGAATGACTTAGTACGTGCCTTATCGTTTTCGGGCGCTGGCCGCCGGGCATATGTAGGTAATTGCGAGAGGCGATGGGGAATGGTATTTATAGAATTCGCAATTCGTAGGCAACGCGAGAAGGAAACAATTAGCTGCAATCGTTTTCTACTTTCATCGAAACGACCCTCGCCCACTGCGCTGGGCTGTGCGACTCGGTATTTAGTTTTCACGGTATTTAGTTTATTCGTAAGTAACGATGAAGGAATCGATGCACATGTAAATAGCGGTAATGCGAAGAAGTTACGTTTTGCTCGAAAGTTGGCGCCGCAACTCTTTCGAGACGAGTATCCAATTTATCGGTCGTTACAGAGACCGTAACGAATGCGTACACACGACCGGAAACGGTAAGAAAAGCTTTGGTCGTTGAGAGTAGAGTAAGTAACGATAAAAGTATGAGTGAGTCGCCGACGAGTGATAGCAGCGTTAATGGTTTTTTGCGTGTTTAAGAATGATTGCGATAGAGTATCGTCGCAGTTATTGGAAGTCAGCGGTATACGGTACGAATCGATCGAAACGTTGGAAATATATACCGATTGCGAAACCGACAAGTCGTGCAGCGATCTCGAGCGTGAAAGAGGCTCGAATCGCGTCTAGATAGAAAAGTTTAGGAGTAGCAGAGATTGGTATGTTACGAGAGAATCCATATTATAGTTTAGATATATATATATATCGAAGTAAGTAATACCGAGATAATCTTTGCGTTTTATCACAGTTGAAATTGTAATTGAGATTTAAGGCGATTTTTCGTGAAACTATATTTTTCAAAACGGTGTGCACGATTTTAGGAAAACTATCGAACCGGTTTAATCGTAGTTTGGCACATGCATACAAAATATCGATATCTAAGACGTATTGCACGTTTTTTTTTTTTTTTTTTGTTAAATATCTAATAGTTTACTCGAAAATTTAATCGAACTTTATCGTTTTCGTCGAGAAACCAGTGTTTTTGTATTCAAATGTGTATAAAATGAATATATCTGAATATTTTCAACGAGAATGTAATAATAAAAAAAAAAAAAACGTTCCATACGCCATAGCGGTATAGATTAATGTAGATTAATTGTTCAATTTCTATAATCGAATAAGTCGTCGCGACTCGCCAACTCGCCATACATCATCGACGATGTACATTTTCAAAGTATTGAAAAATATTCCGCGGCGTCAGTTTCCTGTAAAAGTTGCAAACTCGAGCAATTAATGTGATTTCGTTTACAGCGAATGCTACCCCTAACGTTGCAATTCTTTTTCTTTCATAGATTATCGAACTACTTTGTAATCATAGTTGATACTAATCGAGGCTTCCTGGTGTAAGCCGTGTCCTTTGAATAAAATATTCCGATCTTTCGCCAACATTGCAACTAGCATTTTCAGAGGTCAAATGACACACCGATACATCACTGTAGACCTAAACCTAATTTTTAATAATCATTCTTACAAACAGGATCATGCCTGAGTACGTTAATTCCCGGTAGATAGCTAACCCGACCCAACCTAGTATCTTAACATGTAAAATTTTAGTAGAGTAAGTAAGCAAAAATTATTGCGTCTTAAATTATTATTTGATTAAGGTCTTTCATAAATAAGGAATAACAAATTCTCCTGATACCTAAAGGTAAAATCTGGTCAGAATTCTAATACATACCAGAGGTTCTTCGTGACACCTCTTCAAGTATTATGTTCTCCATATACAAAAAGGTAAGTTTCAAGACAGAATTTAAAAATTATAATACTTCTTCACTCACATTACATTCTCCTGACATAAAGGGTAAGTTCCAAAACAGATTTAAAAATTGTGCCACCTCTTCGAGCCTCATATTTTCCTGATACAAAAAGGTAAGTTTCAAAACAGATTCAAAAATTTCGAGACCAATTCGAATATCATGTTCCTGTGATACTTTTGTGCCACCTCCTCGCATATCATGTGCTCCTGATACAAAAATTCAAAA